AATTTCGCTGATAATAACTACGGATCTAAATAATTCATGAGAAGATCTTGTCGTCCCTGAATTTAGAATCCCTAATCTTAAAAACTTTGGTGTCGGTAAGCATCATGCTTTAAATCTTACCGAACTTTGAAATATCTTAAAACACAATTTATATTATAATGAGACAACCTAAAAGATTTATATTCTTGTGATAATTTATGTAGGCTTTAGTTAAAAGTGTTAAGTCATGTTGTTACAATACACTACATAGTATTACAATAATATAAGATAGTTAGTTACATTGAGTATACAAGATATGGACGATAATCAACGTCATAAGCAATATTATTTGGTAACACGAACGAAATTTTGTACGACAAAGTACCCAGATATAGGCCTTCCGATGAAAGCTAATGTAATAGTTAATCCCCTTTGAGAAAACTCAAAAATGAAACTTCTTCCTTAAATGATTAAATTGATGAAAATATAATATTTCATTGAATACAAATTACTAGAAAATAAGAGTACACTATCATTTCACATTGAAATATATTATAAACAAGCTAATGTTATCTTTTATGATGAACAACATAATATTAAAATGGTAAACAGTATGAAAAAAATGAACGGAAATTCACATTGAATAGGATAAATATTTTTTTTCTTGAAGATATTTAAAATAATAATTAGGAGAATACAATGGAGTAGATTTTGTAATTAGTACAGACTGTGTCTGAGGTTCTGTTCTGCAACTTGGAGGATTTGGTCAGTGGAAACTCGGAGGAGTTGTCTGTTAAGTTGTTACTGAATACCTCTAGACTTCTGCAGAGTAATCAGCCATCCCACAACTGTAACACAACTACTATAAACGTTGCTGGAAATGACAACAGTTAACTCTACACGCAATATCAAGTGATAATTTACAACAGGTACTCGTATTTTCAAGCAGTAAACAAATGAAAGTTACCATATTTGTACTTCATCTATGCTAACTAAAACAAAGAAGTAATGCTTAACGTGAATTTAAATGATTGAATTAGTAGCCCAAATACCTTATCTAAATATATCGTTTAACATTTACAAGTATTTAAATTAATCTTGTAAACTAGATATACGGGAATTTTATGGTCAATGAAATGCATTTTGTGTGTAATGCATTCTTGTGGGAATGTATTACGAACAGTATTTCCTTTTGTGTACAAATATCCACATTATTCAGATATGATATCGAATTGTTTCCCAGACGTGATCATATACCATATCCTGGCAAATATTACTATTTGACCCAATAGTCAATGACACTACTGTACATTGTGTACATTTTCACCCAGCGCTGTAAAATAAAACGCTGTAAAAATGTGATTGGAATTTATTCCATTTGTTTTGATTTTCTGTTTATATTTCGTTGTTATTTCGTCACCAGCATCGCAACCCATAGGGCCCATGTTAATTTTTTTTAATTTAAAATGAATTGTTTGTCCTTACTTTATTTGAACATATTTTAATTTATAAAGGGATACTCCACATTTACAGGAAAATATTTTTCTAAAAGTATGCGTAGATTTTCCCTGCGATGCACACCAGCTGAGAAAAAAGGTTTTCAAGAAACATGCTTGCCTATTAATGTATATATTACTTAACTCTACTATTTCGTGATTGTTGTTGAAAAAAGTTATATAGGTATATATAAAAATTGTTTTTCAGAGGTAAGCTTTTTTTATAAAAAACCCCAAAGTTGACCTTGGACGTGTGTTGTACACACTGCATGAAATTCCCTGCTTGAATCATCTTTTAAAAACCAAGGAAGGCTTAACCATACACTTAACTCTAACAAATTTGGACATCCAGAATTAACGATGTGAAGTGGAGAAAATATCATAAATGTATAATTAGCAAATGATTATGTTATATTGGTAACCTTTACTGACATAAATATATTTAATTTTTGGATATCCTATTATGAGCAATGTTTCCTTGTATCTCAAAGAAAGATCCCAAAACGGCTTCGACGATTTCCTTAAGATGTTGTAAATAATTTATATACGGTCTAAAAATGTATTTACTGCAGTTAAAACTGTCAAAAAATCTAATTACGTAAAAAATTGAATTGAATTGAATTGTACATTAATTGGTTTTAACTTTTACCTTTTTTCACCTATATAACCTTACATTTACATTACATTTCCTTACCTTGCCTTTTGCATTGCCAATTAGATTACCTTTTGTGATCGTAGTTAAACGGAAGCTGCAATTCATGAAAGGTCGGCCGCGAATGTCGAAGTTTGTAGCTGCACAGATGGCGAAGTTCAACTTGGCAACGACAACTTGGCAACAACAACTTCACACAGCGAGTGCGTGTAGTCGAGACATGCAATCATCACTCCTTGGACAACATTGATAAACATAAGTAAAACTGGAGTATGTTAAATGTTGTACATACAAACAATTATCCGGGACCTATTACGTTAATTCACTACCACTATGATTTTTCGTGTAAACATTCTATGATTATCTACACATACTGTACTGTAGGTTATTTTAGGATGAGTTAGGTCAGGTTAGTTTAGAATCAAACCATAATTTAAAACTTCAATCGCATGTTATTACAAATTGCGATGGTTGTCCATAAAATAAACTACGACTGCTTTCAGAGCGGTGAAAGCCAGTTGAACAAAAACGATTTAATATTTTTTATGAGGAAATAAATAGGTAAAACTACAATAGATGTAATAATAATATTTTAAAATATTAAGTTTGACTCTGAACTTATTAACATGCTAAGCAATTGTAAAGTATAAATTTGAGGTAAATTTTAGAATTTAAATTTAATTGTACAACACAAACATTTTACTTTGAGTTGCAAACAGTGCTGTACTTTTTCATTTTAAGAAGCCAAAATTATAGTTCGTTGAAATTAATATTCATGTGGATATAATATTTAAGCAGCTAAATAGAGAAGTAAATTGACAAATTAAATCCCATAATATGTCAATGTTTTGTACAGAAACCTCTGTTCTTCAGAATCTGAGAACACTAATATTAATATCCTTCAAAAACTTCAAAATCCGATAAACAATTTGATGATAACAAACCAAATTTCAAGATAGACAGTACCAAATTCATGATTTTCTCAGGACATTTTATTAAGGGTACAAGAAACATTTATTGATATTATACATGTGCATCTGTTTGACACCAATAAGTACTTGCAAATTATTAATATGACTATTACTAATAATTAGTAATAGTAAAATATTTTTACTCTGGTAAAACTGAAAAATCATATTTTTCTTTTGGCTTTAACTTGAGTTTTAGTAATCCCCTTATATTGAAGCAAGAGTAACTTATCTTAAGGCCGCTAAAGTAGGGTGTTGTTGCACGGTAGAAGCAAAGTTTACGCGATTAAGCTACCAACTGATAAGTTTGCATCACTCCATAAATATTCTTGAAGCTAACTGAATTTAAAATAGGAGAATCGCAGGTTTATGTATGCCCTTTAAATCCTATTTTAGGTTTAAGTTAAAAAATTTAAAGAATTTAATATGATAACCTTTATTTTAACCTGTGAATTTTATACAAATGGACTTATGATTTATGACTTAATAGGTCTTAATATGTCATATGACTTATGACTTAAATAGGTCAGGTAGGTGGTAAAAATCAAGATTTTGCATAATAAAAAAATTATATCCAGTTATTAAGAGTTGAAATTGATTTTAAACTCTGGATTATAAAACTATGCTTAGTGAGCTAACATTAAAATAATGTCCATAATTTATCATAGGTTAGCAAAATGTCTGACGATAACATGCACACCTGTTGATCGAATTTACAAAAGAGTTTGTTAAGGTGTGCCATATCATAACTACGTTTGCTGGATATACGTTCAGAGTTGTAGCTTCAATTCTAGCACAAAGTAAGCTATACAAAGATAGCAGTAGACTAATAATAAACATACATTTGACTAACGAAATTTATGTTTAAAATGTGAAACTAGGCGACATGCTAATGTGATATGGCTAATGCTTATAGACAACACTTTTTTATCAATCAGGTTTAGTGGTCTGGTTATTACTGTGTGATTAAAGAGTACTACTGGATTAAGTGCTTAGCTATTGAAGCAAATATGAGAACACTTTGTATTTATTTTAAACTGATAACATTCTAACTGTGTACTTAATTTAAAAACTACATTGTACATTTTGACACATGAATCCTCCACAGCTTTACAGACTATGTGACTAACAAAGCAACAGAGACCCGTAAAACATAGAAGGGGTAAATAGCCACTAACAGTAGTATGGGTCTCCTTTATGCGTTTGTCGGACTTGATGCAATTAAAGACAGACCCTACTTAGCTCATAATGTGTTGTCATTTTCATTTGGAGGGGACATTCATTTTATACTGGTAAAAATATACCTAGCAGATTTTTACCTCAAAACCAAATTAATGTCACCTCACTATTACTATCGAGATGAAGTTTGTCACTGTACCCATCACTGGGAATTAGAAGACTATGTGAATTTTTCAACGATGACTTTTTGTAAGCGACTTTATAAATTACTTAGGACAATAAAGGTTTGTCTGGAGTTAAAGTGGTTCAATTATTGTAATAATACTTTTGAAGTTCTAGCACCTATTCAAAGTATCCTGAAGAAAAGGAACTTTATTCAAGAGAATATTTTATTTTCAATTCCGATCCACAAAATACTGTATATTTTTCAGATGAGACATTACACATGAAAAATTATGTGCCAAAGGTCATTTTATACAAACAGTCGAATTTTTTGGCGAAATGTTGTTTTAACCAAATCTACTTCAAATATTTATTCGGGCTAAATAACGTTTTAATGACTTATACATTATATAATTGGTTAACATTACAAGGTATAATTACAGACAACGATTAGCTTAATCTATGTAACAGCTAGACATTTTCGCTGAACATATCAGTGATGTAAATCTCTTGTGTCAGTGTCACGATAAACCAGTTCAGCTATCTGCCACACTGCCACACTGCCACACTGCCACACTGCCTCTCTGACCAATGGCTCGGATACCACAGTTAAATGGTCAGAGAGTGTTGTTACTATTCACCGTTATACTTCCTATAACTTTCGGTAAGAACACATACAAATGTAATATCATGACATAGTATATAATACTGGTTATCCAGTATATTCTAAAATTGTAATTTAAAGCTATAAAGGCATTTCTTGGAGCTTTTACACTAACTAACCATGATATTTGTTGGTTTAGAACCTTCCTTTTGTCTTTGAAATGTAAATCGTATGTTAATGAAGATACACATGTCGTGACATCGCAAAGTCAGTATAATACATTTTTTGTTTTAATAGAAGAAAAACATTATGTCGTTCTGGTTTAATAAATTGATTTAGTAAAATTGTAACTTGATATTATTTAAAATATGTATTTTTAGAGATGGAAAGTACCCAGGAAGGATTCACTTACTTCAAAAATTTAGATGCGATCAAAGAGTTCTTCGAGAAAGATTTGGTGAGTAAGAAGTGTTTAGTTGGCTCTATTATTACTTTACAGGCCTTATTTTTAGTCCCATTATGTCACTTAAGTAACTTAAGTTTTTCAAAGATATTTAAAACTAGGATTGCTTTCATATCAGTGAAAGCCAGTTGAGTGGAGCGATCAAGTTTCATGGTTTTTAATAAAGCAATAAATAAATAAAATGTTTATAGATATAATACAAAATACAACTATCAATATCTATGACAAGTTTCATAAGTAAAGATGTGGACATTACATACATATCCTTCGTATCGGTATTTTCCCCGTGTTTCCTTGCTAATGTGCTAATGAACCCACAGTAAGACTTACCTGCTTTGGGAGAGTTGCACAAATAGTTGTCACCATACCTTATGAGTTTTTTAGTCTCCCTTCCATGGCATTTTAGTATTTTAGATACAATTATCTAACTGTCACAATCGGTTCCCACACTTCTAATACTGTACCTAAGAAAGTATGTTTTATCTATGAATGTATGTACCTATTCGATCAATGGTCATTTCAAAATTTCGATTTAAATGTAATCTTAAGACTTTCTCTGTATTATTTTATCAGTTGTCATCATCGGAATTGTTTTCCTTTGTACTGTCTTTAGGTCGTGGCTTGATTTTAACATATGCTATGATTCTTTGTTTTTTATTTACATTTACGTCGTTATTTTGTAACCATCATGGCAACCCATAAGGCCAATGTTAAAATTTTGAAACTTTGAGTCTTACTTCTAAATTATATAGGCATTATCAAAAATTTAAATTTGTTACGTCTAAACAACCTTGATAAGTTTTGTTCAAATATGTTCGGCCGTTATTGAGTTTTAGTGTTATAAATATTGCATTGAAGTTGCTCCCAAGGAGCTGCGTTTCGCTCCGCTCAAGCCTAGTGAATCAACCAATAGCTCTGCTCCTAGAATGGACCAATAGTTAGAGATTAATTCATTGTTTAGAATTAGTCCATTGTAGAAGTTAAGGAATCACAAGGGGTTTTGATCTAATTAACAGTATTTGTCTATGTGATTCGAAACAAACGACACTTAACACGAAATTATTATTACCACTTTATCCATAACTGGCTGGTGCGAAATAGGCCTACACCTACTGTATAAATGACAATATTGATTGTGGTATGATTGAAGGCGCAATATTTAGTCAAAATCACTTCTATTTCTAAAACTTAAAGTTAATGAAGCTCAGGAAGCAGAAGTTTATTATTTAGCAATAGTTTGGGAAACGCTGCAGTGTAGCTTGTCAGCCTGATTTTATTTACTTTTAATGAAACCTTCCATAAAGTAATCCTTATTAAGAATATGTATCTCCTCTTTTCAGAACCCATATTCGAGGAACATATTGGAAAGCTTTAAAAAGGAATGTCTTTACATGGAGGATCCTGGACTTCCTAGAGGCAGACGGAGGCCATTCATAGTGATCGACGGCAACCACAGAGCATGTAAACCATTCACGTAAGCTGTATGAATAACAATGCGTTGTCACGTAGATATACTCGATTTCAACCACAAAACACCGTTCACTACGGTTGTAACTTAACCATGTAAACACGTGTTGTCACGTAGAGATGCTTGATTACAACCACAGAGCATGTTAACCATTCACGTAAGCTGTATGAATAACAATGCGTTGTCACGTAGATATACTCGATTTCAGCCACAAAACACCGTTCACTACGGTTGTAACTTAACCATGTAAACACGTGTTGTCACGTAGAGATGCTTGATTACAACCACAGAGCATGTAAACCATTCACGTAAGCTGTATGAATAACAATGCGTTGTCACGTAGATATACTCGATTTCAACCACAAAACACCGCTCACTACGGTTGTAACTTAACCATGTAAACACGTGTTGTCACGTAGAGATGCTTGATTACAACCACAGAGCATGTAAACCATTCACGTAAGCTGTATGAATAACAATGCGTTGTCACGTAGATATACTCGATTTCAACCACAAAACACCGTTCACTACGGTTGTAACTTAACCATGTAAACACGTGTTGTCACGTAGAGATGCTTGATTACAACCACAGAGCATGTAAACCATTCACGTAAGCTGTATGAATAACAATGCGTTGTCACGTAGATATACTCGATTTCAACCACAAAACACCGTTCACTACGGTTGTAACTTTTCCATGTACAGTAAACACGTGTTGTCACGTAGAGATGCTTGATTACAACCACAGAGCATGTTAACCATTCACGTAAGCTGTATGAATAACAATGCGTTGTCACGTAGATATACTCGATTTCAACAACAAAACACCGTTCACTACGGTTGTAACTTAACCATGTAAACAAGTGTTGTCACTTAGAGATGCTTGATTACAACCACAGAGCATGTAAACCATTCCGAACTACCGTAGGTCCCAAAATTGACTCTCTGTATGAATTTTGTTACCGTAGTCACTGGATTAATTTTAGGATGAAAAAACAGTACCAGTAGGTCCAAAAACAGTAATGCCCTTTATCTCACTTACCATCGGTCAAGACCCTCGCACCAGACATTGCAGATTATTTTACGTTACAGGTAGGAACGTGGTGGGGATGAAGTTGTCGAGGAAGCTGGGCGGTCGCTACTTGAGTCATCCATCCCCTTGTCTACACGACTACTTCAAGAAACTGTCGCAAGGGATGACTCGCAGGGCCTTCTACCTGCTGTCCATCTACGCCATGGACCTCAACGTCAAAGTGCACATAAACCTCAACAGACCTGTAATCGTCAACGGGTACTTGAAACTAACCTCTCCATAATAATCTTCACCTCTGGCCAATCGCAATCAGCATTGTGCTTGTAGCTTTAATCGTCGCTTTCATATCGTCTTTAGTCTTTTCGTATCGTTGATGATCCATGTCTCTATTTTAAACTTAAGTTAAAGATATAAGGCTAGCTAATTCAGTATTACCTCCCTAATTGACTTCAATTAAACCTCACACATTGTGTTACAGACACTGGTTGGAGCAGGTAGTATTCCCTCTGCTTCAGTTTCTTCCACCAAACGACGACTTCCCTCCAGCGTCCAGCGAAGTGTTCGACCTTCCTACAGATCTGCTGGCTCCAGACCTGGTGGTATACCTGGACACCGAGGACAACAACATGACCAAACCGCGCACTGCTGTTAACAAACGCAGGTCAGTCAGATACACATCATCTGAGGACTCCGACTCTCGGACTGTGTTTAACAACTATGAAAATACACAAATCTCACTATATTACCCTATTTTAATTAGAATTAAGATAGAAAATTTATCTTTACCAATATGAATATTTTTTACCGCAGGGTTTTCCTACTATTTAATAGTGCTTATATTGCCCTATTTGTACTAAACAAACTAGGTTCTAAAAATATTATACGTGAATGTAGGTAATATTTTTTATAAATAGGCTAACATAATTTACAAGTAGGTGATGGTAGTAAAAACTGTCATATCCTATGTAGGTATATATATATTTTTTTTTGCCATACAATGCAGATAGAGTTTTAAAACAAAGCAGCTATTGATAAACAGTTACACAGCTTACTATAAATTAATATAAAAAAATCACATCAAATACGTCATAATGTGCGTACTGCTACTCACGATAATATATACGGGGGAACAGTTTACTATAACGAGAAAACACAAGGAATGTGAGGTAAATGATGTTCATCGTTACATGGACGCTATGAAAATCCAGAGTGGTGTAATAAAGGCAGATTGTGGACAGCAACAAAGCATATTGACTCGATGGCAACAAGAAACTGCAGTTTTAATAAACCACCTTTTTGCTACGAGAAGATTGATTCATTACATTTAGACTCCAAGCATTATGTTTACCAGAGGAAATATGTTAATTTAGAGCGTAGAGATTTGTTATGAGTTTCTTATATCCTGGATATCATCGTTGATTAAATGTGCATTATTAATATAAAGGGTGGAACGAAGTTAGTGTTAAAAAATTGTATGTGTTAAACTACTAAGTATTGGTGACAAAATGGCACCAATTTAAGTTTCCATACGCTCACAGGTAGGGAATAACAGACAATATAAGATTTTTTTTAAATATTTGTACTTACTTACAAAAAATAGCCATAAGTGCATTAAACATTGTTTTTATCCCAAATTCATTGTCATTTTCAGAATCCTCGTTAAATTTCCAATAGTAATAGTACAAATTCATTGAGATTAAACATCTGCATAAGCCCTTATTTGGCCATGGAAGTTTGAATTTGTGTTTTTTTATAAATAAGTAATAACTTTTCCCAAAGTTTTTCTATACTACACTGGACTGTAGAGAGTGTCAAATATTACTAAAAACATCTGCGGTTAATAACCTTTAAAATTTGTATAAACATCTACTGTTCCTTTGATTTTTCGTTCTCAAATGTAAGAGTTTCTCATGAAAAACACGGAACGGCTAATGTTTAATTTCGTTTAAAATAACATGTATTTGCTTAAATAATATGGCAATAGCTGCAAAAACAGTTATATTTGAATAGGGTCTATTGTAATTTTTAGAATCCTTGTGAGATTTATTGTAAGAATATTAAGGATCTATTAGGATTAACATCCGTATAAACGTATGTTTTGTGAAAACATGTTAAATTAGTTTTATTTTGATTTTTTGAATACATTGAATATTGTTTGACACATGGTACATTTAACTTTTTTAAGATTTTTTTACATTTAAGAATTTTTTAAGCATAAGCAAATACTTCCAATTGAGTAGCCTATAAAATTATGTAGATACTACACTTTACAATGTTGTCAATATGTTCACCAAAACCGAAAATTAACCTAAGTATAGTATACCAATTAATTGATTGTAGTGCTTAGACACATGCTAATGGAAATAACTCAGTCAATTGATATTTCTTAACTAAACACCTCAAAAATACTTAGTTTTAGTTATTTATACAAAAACTAAAAGTTAATTCTAAAACACACAATATTCGAAACTTAAATAACTGTTCCTTACTTCCTTGACGTTTTAATAGTTGCCTTCTATTTGATGCCAACTACTTGAGTTTTTTTTTTCAAAATCTCCTCCATTTTCCCAGATACACAGCCAAGCTTTTTTTGCACGTGGCACCAACAGTAACATTAAAATACAACGTTCCTCTGACTAGCACATCTGCATTCATTATCCAGTAGTTAATTTTCTGATTATCTTCCACTAAAGACGAGTAGACCAAGTACTCTACATAACACACAAAGCAAGTCCAGTGGACTTAGAAACCACACCATATGACCCATCATTATCATTCTTATCATTCAAGTTGTGTATTTTGTTTTAATTTAATCTTGCACATCGGTTGAATGTGCCATAGAACTAACACCGTAAACTATATTTAATTTATTCCAATAAATAAGAAGAAAACCCCCTAAATGAAAATTCATCACAAAACATATGTTCATAAAGTGTTAATCCTAACAATTCCTCAATATTCTTATTGGGAATTTAACAAGGATTCTGAAAATTACAATAATACCCATTTAAACGTGATTTTTAAATCAGCTGCTGCCATATCATAAAAGCCAATACATGTTTTTTTTTAAGGAAATTAAACATTAGCCGTTCCTTGTTTTTCATGAGAAACTCTTAAATTTGAGAACGACAAATCAAAGTAACAGTAGATGTTTATACATAATTTTAAAGGTTATTAACTGCAGAAGTTTTTAGTAATATTTGACACTCTCTACAGTCCAGTGTAGTATAGAAAAACTTTGGGAAAAGTTATTACTTATTTATAAAAAATCACAAATTCAAACTTCCATGGCCAAATAAAGGCTTATGCAGATGTTTAATCTCAATGAATTTGTACTATTACTATTGGAAATTTAACGAGGATTCTGAAAATGACAATGAATTTGGGATAAAAACAATGTTTAATGCACTTATGGCCATTTTATGTAAGTAAGTACAAATATTTTGAAAAAATCTTAAATTGTTTGTTATTCCCTACCTGTGAGGGTATGGAAACTTAAATTGGTGCCATTTTGTCACCAATACTTAGTAGTTTAACACATAAATTTTTTAACACTAACTTCGTTCCACCCTGTATATATATTAATACAGGGTTATTACAAATGATGTTAATGATTCCATACATACAAAAAATATAGTTTTATTTGTTATACAAAGAAATAAAATGGTTACAACTTTTGAAAAACTCAAAAAGTTTCGACACAGATACACAGAACTGTAAATGCTCGATACGGGAACCCCTTGTGGTACGACAGATGTCAATAATGTAGTCAAGCTCTTGCTAGACTTTGAAAAGTGTGTCTTATGTCTATTGTTTCGATAGCAGTGGTAATCCGTTGCTGGATCTCAAGTATGCTATCTGATAATGGTGGTGTGTACTTATCTTTGATGTATCCCCACAAGAAAAAAATCGGGGGGTGATGTCCGGAGATCTTGTAGGCCAGTTCAGGGGTGTGTCATTATTCGGACCACCGAGCTCGTTCCATATCTCAGGCAGCACATTGTTAAGTTCAGCTCTTCTACAAGTAACATTCAAATGCAGCCATTTCTCTTAAATTTCAAGTGTCACTTGCCAATATAGGTTACTAGGAGGATAATCGTTAAGCCTGGTTCTAAAAGTGTCGTTGCACACTAATAACAGATTGGTTAATGTATTCCAACTGGCAAAAAGCTTTCCTGCTTTCAAATTCAGCCATTACACAACACTTACAACAATTGACTTGACAAACAGCTGATATGCACCCAAACCAATGTAAATGAAACTTTATGAGTTTTTCTTTTTAATGGTACCAACTAAAATAGTCTCGAAACAAATTAACCCAGTAATATTTATAATGAAAATCAGGAACATCATTTGTAATAACCCTGTATATAGCAGCAAAACGACTGGCCTAAATTTAACTTGAAAAAAAAAAGGATTTCGTCAATGTATGCTACTCAAATGTTGGTTCAAGACTTGATGTTCTGAATAGGAAGTTGGGAACAAGGATGAGGGAAACACAAGGCACGAGTGCACGATTGGTTTAATTGATTTTTTTATTTATTTTTTATTGAAATAAAACTTCTTTAAAGAACTTAGCATAGCTTAACAAGTTTAATGTAAAAAACACAATAAACGATTTGTATAATCAAATTTTACAGTAATGTACTAATTGTTGTACAGGTCCGTGAAGTTGTATGAAAAATTGGCATCAAGATATCCCATTACGATACAACCTATGTTGCCCGGACCCAACAGGCACACGATCGAAAAGATCTACGGAATCATCTGGAACAATCTATCAGAACATCTAGACTTCAGACACATCAACAGACCCTATCAGTTCTATAAATATCAAAACTTAATAACGACTAACAAACTGAATCAAACAATACATACATACAGACCTGTAATTAGCCAACCAACCGAGATATAATTCAGTGTGGTACATTAAATATTATCAGGAATATCAGGCATTACGCTGCTCTTTACCATACTCTTAACCACAGCATGTTCTATCTAACTATTGTGTCTAGTGATGAAAATAGCTCGACGGTTGCAATGTTTTATACAACTTTGAGAAAAACATTTCAATATTATTTAGACTAACAAAAAATATTTAAGGCTGTATGTCTATTTATTAAATAATTTATTTTTGATTGCATGTACTTGTTCGTACAATGTTGAAATGGTGAAAATATCTCTAAAGTAACACATAATTTTATACAGATAAGAATAAATGAAGAATGTTCATAAACATATCTTGTGGCTTTGAGTATTGAAATTATCAAGAGAAATCCTTCCGACCGAGCAAAAATCTGACACAGTCTTGTTAGCTATTGGTATTAATCACTAAATTCTTGATACTGCATTGATTTGACCATTTTGTTGCATTTAATTTCGTCAAGCAAGAAGCAAAAATTGAAATTTCACTAATTACCAATTCTACGTATGACCTCTTTATGCTTATATAAATATATCTTAATTTATATGCAATCTTCATAACAATAATATTTGTGATGCTGCTTGTTTTTCCAACATCAACTTTAATTATGATAGTGGTTTAAATACCTTATTCTTGCAATCCAATTGTTGTCTTCACAACTAGTTTCAACCTGCTAGGAGGTCATCATCAGGTGAGTACAAGGATGATATTACTTCATATGAAGGTCGTCAGTAACAGTTTTTTCACATTCACACAAACACACGACGAATAAACACATAGTGCGCACACATATACGGCCGATAAAAACATTTAACTCGACAAGCGGACCCGTGTTGATAATGCGGAAGTTGCGTCTAGACTGTAGGGTAAACAGCTTTTGTATGAACAGCTGTTTGTGTGAATGTGAAAAAACTGTTACTGACGACCTTCATATGAAGTAATATCATCCTTGTACTCACCTGATGATGACCTCCTAGCAGGTTGAAACTAGTTGTGAAGACAACAATTGGATTGCAAGAATAAGGTATTTAAACCACTATCATAGTTATTATTCGCAATCCGGAGGCTACTCACACCACAATCAACTTTAATGTTTATCAAATCCAGTAATATCTTCTTCATCGCTACGTAATAGAGTCACTTAAAATCTACCGGAAAAAATAGGTAATTTGGAATTGATATGATACATTTAAAAAGCTCAAATTTTGTTTTGAGGCCACATAAAAAAACTTCTTTTATAAGAAGTCGATTGACAACATTTATATGTTGTCAATCGAACGATTACTTCACAGATTTTACTCATATAATGCTTACTCATATAACTATAATGCTTTACACAGTTTGAACACATTTTGGTTAATTCATTGAATATGCAATAAAGTACTGGAATAACTGCACACGTACTTGAATCAATTTATGCCATACCAGTGAATATATTGTTTACATTGTTGTAACACATGAAAGCAAAGTTGCAGCTACAGTGGCTATCGTTATTGCTGCGATGATAAGAGAACAATAATTGGTCCACCACAATATTGGATATTTGGGTTAGTGGTTTTCGATGCATTACAGACGTAACAGTGAACTACGTCCAGCACTTTGATTGAACACCATTTATTCTTTATGCATTTCTAGCAGAACTGCAATAGTTTTTAAATAACCTCATTGCTATAGTGGATACCAAATTCAGTGGAAATATCCTTAGGATTGAATTAAAGTGGGTCAACATCATTAATTGGTTTAAAGATGTTAATCCAAACAACACATGAATCTGTTACGTGTATAGGCCCGCTTTTCACTTGGTAAATTTTAAATTAGAAAAATTAACTCACCATCTGTGAAATAAAGCAGTAGAAAATGAGAATTGTTGATTTTAAAATCTAAGATCCATTGGTGATTAGAGGGATTTAAGCCCGAGACAGGGGACCGAAGTCCCGAGCGCTACCACTAGACCAGCTCGCTCTCCGACACTTCTCACATTGGGATTTGAACCCGAGACAGGGGACCGAAGTCCCGAGCGCTACCACTAGACCAGCTCGCTCTCCGACACTTCTCACATTGGGATTTGAACCCGAGACAGGGGAGCGAAGTCCCGAGCGCTACCACTAGACCAGCTCGCTCTCCGACACTTCTCACATTGGGATTTGAACCCGAGACAGGGGACCGAAGTCCCGAGCTGTACCACTAGACCAGCTCGCTCTCCGACACTTCTCACATTGGGATTTGAACCCGAGACAGGGGAGCGAAGTCCCGAGCGCTACCACTAGACCAGCTCGCTCTCCGACACTTCTCACATTGGGATTTGAACCCGAGACTGGGGACCGAAGTCCCGAGCGCTACAACTAGACCAGCTCGCTCTCCGACACTTCTCACATTGGGATTTGAACCCGAGACAGGGGACCGAAGTCCCGAGCTGTACCACTAGACCAGCTCGCTCTCCGACACTTCTCACATTGGGATTTGAACCCGAGACAGGGGAGCGAAGTCCCGAGCGCTACCACTAGACCAGCTCGCTCTCTGACACTTCTCACATTGGGATTTGAACCCGAGACAGGGGACCGAAGTCCCGAGCGCTACCACTAGACCAGCTCGCTCTCCGACAATTCTCACATTGGGATTTGAACCCGAGACAGGTGACCGAAGTCCCGAGCGCTACCACTAGACCAGCTAGCTCTCCGACACTTCTCACATTGGGATTTGAACCCGAGACAGGTGACCGAAGTCCCGAGCGCTACCACTAGACCAGCTAGCTCTCCGACACTTCTCACATTGGGATTTGAACCCGAGACAGGGGACCGAAGTCCCGAGCGCTACCACTAGACCAGCTCGCTCTCCGACACTTCTCACATTGGGATTTGAACCCGAGACAGGGGACCGAAGTCCCGAGCGCTACCACTAGACCAGCTCGCTCTCCGACACTTCTCACATTGGGATTTGAACCCGAGACAGGGGACCGAAGTCCCGAGCTGTACCACTAGACCAGCTAGCTCTCCGACACTTCTCACATTGGGATTTGAACCCGAGACAGGGGACCAAAGTCCCGTGCTCTACCACTAGACCAGCTTGCTCTCCGACACTTCTCACATTGGGATTTGAACCCGAGACAGGTGACCGAAGTCCCGAGTGCTACCACTAGACCAGCTAGCTCTCCGACACTTCTCACATTGGGATTTGAACCCGAGACAGGGGACCGAAGTCCCGTGCTCTACCACTAGACCAGCTCGCTCTCCGACACTTCTCACATTGGGATTTGAACCCGAGACAGGGGACCGAAGTCCCGAGCTGTACCACTAGACCAGCTTGCTCTCCAACACTTCTCCCATTGGGATTTGAACCCGAGACAGGGGACCGAAGTCCCGAGCTGTACCACTAGACCAGCTTGCTCTCCAACACTTCTCACATTTGATTTGAACCCGAAACAGGGGACCGAAGTCCCGTGCTCTACCACTAGACCAGCTCGCTCTCCGACACTTCTCACATTGGGATTTGAACCTGAGACAGGTGACCGAAGTCCCGAGCGCTACCACTAGACCAGCTAGCTCTCCGACACTTCTCACATTGGGATTTGAACCCGAGACAGGGGACCGAAGTCCCGTGCTCTACCACTAGACCAGCTCGCTCTCCGACACTTCTCACATTGGGATTTGAACCCGAGACAGGGGACCGAAGTCCCGAGCTGTACCACTAGACCAGCTTGCTCTCCAACACTTCTCCCATTGGGATTTGAACCCGAGACAGGGGACCGAAGTCCCGAGCTGTACCACTAGACCAGCTTGCTCTCCAACACTTCTCACATTTGATTTGAACCCGAGACAGGGGACCGAAGTCCCGTGCTCTACCACTAGACCAGCTCGCTCTCCAACAGTTCTCCCATTGGGATTTGAACCCGAGACAGGGGACCGAAGTCCCGAGCTGTACCACTAGACCAGCTCACTCTCCGACACTTCTCACATTGGGATTTAAACCCGAGACAGGGGACCGAAGTCCCGAGCTGTACCACTAGACCAGCTCGCTCTCCGACACTTCTCACATTGGGATTTGAACCCGAGACAGGGGACCGAAGTCCCGTGCTCTACCACTAGACCAGCTCGCTCTCCGACACTTCTCACATTGGGATTTGAACCCGAGACAGGGGTCCGAAGTCCCATGCTCTACCACTAGTCCAGCTCGCTCTCCGACACTTCTCACATTGGGATTTGAACCCGAGACAGGGGACCGAAGTCCCGAGCTGTACCACTAGACCAGCTCGCTCTCCGACACTTCTCACATTGGGATTTGAACCCGAGACAGGGGTCCGAAGTCCCATGCTCTACCACTAGACCAGCTCGCTCTCCGACACTTCTCACATTTGATTTGAACCCGAGACAGGGGACCGAAGTCCCGTGCTCTACCACTAGACCAGCTCGCTCTCCGACACTTCTCACATTGGGATTTGAACCCGAGACAGGTGACCGAAGTCCCGAGCGCTACCACTAGACCAGCTAGCTCTCCGACACTTCTCACATTGGGATTTGAACCCGAGACAGGGGACCGAAGTCCCGTGCTCTACCACTAGAACAGCTCGCTCTCCGACACTTCTCACATTGGGATTTGAACCCGAGACAGGGGACCGAAGTCCCGAGCTGTACCACTAGACCAGCTTGCTCTCCAACACTTCTCCCATTGGGATTTGAACCCGAGACAGGGGACCGAAGTCCCAAGCTGTACCACTAGACCAGCTTGCTCTCCAACACTTCTCACATTTGATTTGAACCCGAGACAGGGGACCGAAGTCCCGTGCTCTACCACTAGACCAGCTCGCTCTCCAACAGTTCTCCCATTGGGATTTGAACCCGAGACAGGGGACCGAAGTCCCGAGCTGTACCACTAGACCAGCTCACTCTCCGACACTTCTCACATTGGGATTTAAACCCGAGACAGGGGACCGAAGTCCCGAGCTGTACCACTAGACCAGCTCGCTCTCCGACACTTCTCACATTGGGATTTGAACCCGAGACAGGGGACCGAAGTCCCGTGCTCTACCACTAGACCAGCTCGCTCTCCGACACTTCTCACATTGGGATTTGAACCCGAGACAGGGGTCCGAAGTCCCATGCTCTACCACTAGTCCAGCTCGCTCTCCGACACTTCTCACATTGGGATTTGAACCCGAGACAGGGGTCCGAAGTCCCATGCTCTACCACTAGACCAGCTCGCTCTCCGACACTTCTCACATTGGGATTTGAACCCGAGACAGGGGTCCGAAGTCCCGAGCGCTACCACTAGACCAGCTTGCTTTCCGACACTTCTCACATTGGGATTTGAACCCGAGACAGCTGACCGAAGTCCCGTGCTCTACCACTAGACCAGCTCGCTCTCCGACAAGTCACATTGGGATTTCTTTCCTTGATATACTTTGAGAAATAAAATACATATTCTAACAACCAAGCATAACAATTGCAAACCAGACTCCAAAAACTAAAACAAATTTATTTAAACTTGTTGTTACATTTTGCTGTCAACCAATATTTCAATATACCTTAAGAGAAAAATGCCATGTTTTTTTTAAACGATAGTACTTTACATTGCTGTAAAAAACAATTCTAATATTTTGCGACTACATGTAAACTACATCAGTTTGTGTGAGTTTTCCAATCCACAACCACATTCAGTTTAGGGGTAAAGGTTCCGTCGATCTCCATCATCAATACGCCCAGTTATGATGGATCACGCGCCCAATCGCCTGTCGCAGATCACATTTATTTCTGTGGACGTTCGGACCGTGTGACGTTTAAAGAATTCTGCACTGAAAATTGATGGATGAGCTGTTGAAGGAGCTTATTGTGTGCAAAGTGTTGCACGATTTATATTGCCTACAAATTTCGCTCTTTGGTGATTCCATCAATCACACAAAGCCTCTATTTTACGTCATTTAGGTGATACAGTCAAATTTGTCGTCATCGCAGAAATAAAGAACAGCAGTATTCTCTTTCGAATAATCCCCCCTTTTCCAAGCACGGATAGCAGCTCCTTAAAATCTGAAATACTACACCCTTTTACAGAATTTCATAATTCAATCGTAAGGTCCATCCCTTTTGATTTTGTATTGCACGAATGAAGACATTACCTAATTGTTGTTACACGCTCAAGGTTCATCAAAAGGTAATTTAGGAAAACTGATCAGCTTAAAAATATTTAATTGATTATATAAATTAATTTATGGATTTTTATGAATCTAAATGTTTTGAATGCACAAATGAAATGATTGATTTACCGGTTCCAAGTATTTGAATATCCAGTGTCTCCCTTTACAAAACCAATGTAGAGGTAGGTGCATGAAAAAAGTATCTTTTTTGGCTTACAGTAAGTATCGAGAGCTCAAATCAAAAATGCTGATTACACTACTTATTATTACACTACACTACCTATTTGTTTAATAGTGAATAGATAAAGGAAGGAAATATAAATGGAAATTTATGTCGTACTACTCTTAATAATGAGTGTGACACGTTAACCCTGGTTATTATAATCAAAGTTGACGTCAGCATTACGTGTGCGCAGACGTGGGGACACATCTCTGACGTCACTCAGAGTCTGGACCAAGTGACGGTAGACGACTAGGGCTGTGGCTCTGTAGATCCTCTCCAGATCCTGGATCACTATGGGATACCTCGTCTGTAGAGACTGATACAGCGACAACACTCTGCGAGACAAACACCACAAGATCAACACTCATATCTGACGTCACTCAGGGTCAGTACCAAGTGACGGTAGACGACCAGGGCTGCGGCTCTGTAGATCCTCTCCAGATCCTGGATCACTATGGGATACCTCGTCTGTAGAGACTGATACAGCGACAACACTCTGCGAGACAAACACCACAAAATCAACACTCATATCTGACGTCACTCAGGGTCAGTACCAAGTGACGGTAGACGACCAGGGCTGCGGCTCTGTAGATCCTCTCCAGATTCTGGATCACTATGGGATACCTCGTCTGTAGAGACTGATACAGCGACAACACTCTGCGAGACAAACACCACAAAATCAACACTCATATCTGACGTCACTCAGGGTCAGTACCAAGTGACGGTAGACGACCAGGGCTGCGGCTCTGTAGATCCTCTCCAGATTCTGGATCACTATGGGATACCTCGTCTGTAGAGACTGATACAGCGACAACACTCTGCGAGACAAACACCACAAAATCAACACTCATATCTGACGTCACTCAGGGTCAGTAACAAGTGACGGTAGACGACCAGGGCTGCGGCTCTGTAGATCCTCTCCAGATCCTGGATCACTATGGGATACCTCGTCTGCAGAGACTGATACAGCGACAACACTCTGCGAGACAAACACCACAAAATCAACACTCATATTTGATGTCATTCAGGGTCAGTACCAAGTGACGGTAAACGACCAGGGCTGCGGCTCTGTAGATCCTCTCCAGATTCTGGATCACTATGGGATACCTCGTCTGTAGAGACTGATACAGCGACAACACTCTGCGAGACAAACACCACAAAATCAACACTCATATCTGACGTCACTCAGGGTCAGTACCAAGTGACGGTAGACGACCAGGGCTGCGGCTCTGTAGATCCTCTCCAGATCCTGGATCACTATGGGATACCTCGTCTGTAGAGACTGATACAGCGACAACACTCTGCGAGACAAACACCACAAAATCAATACTCATATCTGACGTCACTCAGGGTCAGTACCAAGTGACGGTAGACGACCAGGGCTGCGGCTCTGTAGATCCTCTCCAGATCCTGGATCACTATGGGATACCTCGTCTGTAGAGACTGATACAGCGACAACACTCTGCGAGACAAACACCATAAAATCAACACTCATATCTGACGTCACTCAGGGTCAGTACCAAGTGACGGTAGACGACCAGGGCTGCGGCTCTGTAGATCCTCTCCAGATTCTGGATCACTATGGGATACCTCGTCTGTAGAGACTGATACAGCGACAACACTCTGCGAGACAAACACCACAAAATCAACACTCATATCTGACGTCACTCAGGGTCAGTACCAAGTGACGGTAGACGACCAGGGCTGCGGCTCTGTAGATCCTCTCCAGATCCTGGATCACTATGGGATACCTCGTCTGTAGAGACTGATACAGCGACAACACTCTGCGAGACAAACACCACAAAATCAACACTCATATCTGACGTCACTCAGGGTCAGTACCAAGTGACGGTAGACGACCAGGGCTGCGGCTCTGTAGATCCTCTCCAGATCCTGGATCACTATGGGATACCTCGTCTGTAGAGACTGATACAGCGACAACACTCTGCGAGACAAACATCACAAAATCAACACTCATATCTGACGTCACTCAGGGTCAGTACCAAGTGACGGTAGACGACCAGGGCTGCGGCTCTGTAGATCCTCTCCAGATCCTGGATCACTATGGGATACCTCGTCTGTAGAGACTGATACAGCGACAACACTCTGCGAGACAAACATCACAAAATCAACACTCATACTTGACGTCATTCAGGGTCAGTACCAAGTGACGGTAGACGATCAGGGCTGTGGCTCTGTAGATCCTCTCCAGATCCTGGATCACTATGGGATACCTCGTCTGCAGAGACTGATACAGCGACAACACTCTGCGAGACAAACACCACAAAATCAACACTCATATCTGACGTCACTCAGGGTCAGTACCAAGTGACGGTAGACGACCAGGGCTGCGGCTCTGTAGATCCTCTCCAGATCCTGGATCACTATGGGATACCTCGTCTGTAGAGACTGATACAGCGACAACACTCTGCGAGACAAACACCACAAAATCAACACTCATATCTGACGTCACTCAGGGTCAGTACCAAGTGACGGTAGACGACCAGGGCTGCGGCTCTGTAGATCCTCTCCAGATCCTGTATCACTATGGGATACCTCGTCTGTAGAGACTGATACAGCGACAACACTCTGCGAGACAAACACCACAAAATCAACACTCATATCTGACGTCACTCAGGGTCAGTACCAAGTGACGGTAGACGACCAGGGCTGCGGCTCTGTAGATCCTCTCCAGATCCTGTATCACTATGGGATACCTCGTCTGTAGAGACTGATACAGCGACAACACTCTGCGAGACAAACATCACAAAATCAACACTCATATCTGACGTCACTCAGGGTCAGTACCAAGTGACGGAAGACGGCCAGGCGTTTGTGAAAAGCGTTTCCAGGAAGGCTTCGTATGATTGGACCGATATTTTTTTTGTAGGTTCCTACACACCAGAGTAAAATACACCTTAGACAATGACGGTGAATACAGCATTTTCTTATCATAAAAGCTAACACATGATCAGCACACTTCTTTGGTGTTAGCACTCTGCATTTAATAAATAGGATAACCACAATAATTTGCATGTGAAACTTTCGTGGATGAAATGATACACAACAGTCCCTTGAACACAAACGCAACCCCTTTAACAATGAAGATTAGTAAAAATAATTACAGTATAATGTTAGTTAGTAATTTATCACTTTATAAACTACTTGGCCTATCGAAATAATGGTTGATAGTAGGACCTGTCTTGAACTAAAATAGGTCCGTAAGGGATACGCTTAATATATATTTGCTTTTGTATATAAAGCTATACTTCATTAGTCACCAGTGAAGATCTCCGTTTTGGAGGCTTCTGTTAAACTTTGAGATTTTTTTTTTATTCAGGAATAAACATATTCAAAGCAAACACAAATTAACACACCCATTTATGCCCCAAAATTGTGCAAGTGTAAACACAAAACTATATACGTACAATATTCACTTGGATTATAAATTACTCAGAAAATATCTTAAGTAATTGCATGTCAGTCACCTCGACTTCCAGTTCCGCGGGCTCCTGGTAGTGACCTGACGATAGAACAGGTCGTCGGGAAGGTTTAGGTAGAAGATTAGGTCAGGAGTGAACAGGTCGGGGGGTTTGTCTAGCAGAGAGGAGGAAGCGGGAGGTACTGCTGTCTCTCCTGGCTGAGCGTGGATAAGGTTCCAGGTCAGCTGATCCAACCAGTACCTTCACAATCATAGGCAATCAAAAGGTTATTTTTTATAATAGGTCCTAAATAAATGTCTATAAATCCTATGGTTGTCAATTTCTTCCTTTCTCATACTGATTTTTGAAAATATGTGTTTAAGTTGAGGAAGTTATTTGTGTTACCATTGTTGGACCATCTAATATGACCTAAATTTGAGTATGAATTGATACGTAGGTTTTCAGTAGTAATGCTCGTGACTAAATAAGCCTGATTCATCAATATGTATCACCCAACAAGTAAACACATAAATTTAGGTTACTCACTTATTGCATGTGTTGATGGCACAAAAAAACACAAATTGGTCTAAATTCACATGAACTCATATTTTAAATAACACAGGCAGTGCCTAGTATCAATGACTTGGTAGAACCACGTCACGTTAAAACATTTATGTAAAATGCCCCCCCTCCCCACCACAATATTGTATGATTGGTGATGTCAGTGGTACCATTTTGTCCAACAATATAACTTTCCTCCTTTTTTTCATAATGTGACTAGTGGATCAATTTTAATTTACTTACAAGACTAAAATTATCTCAAACAATAGATTAGAGAAGCTAAAACAATGTACCCGTTGACAACAACTGCTCGACCCAGGCTGAGATTTATCTTGACGTTGAAAGACATGGCGTAGAGTGAGAGAACGTAATAAGCTCTACGTATCAGGCTTCCCTTGGGCAGAATGTCAGAGTATCTGATGAGACAAGAGGCTGGGTGGACAAGATACCTCCCATCCAGCATCCCGGCTAGACGGACTCCAACTACTTCTCTGCCTACAACACGACATGTTAGTGTGAGTCATTTCAAACTTGTTACTCAGTAGATTAATGGGATGAACGAGGGTGCCTCTACGATATGATGGTTTTAAATGGTCAATACGACCACAGTTAGCAGTCAGACTCAATTGGCTAGTAGGAAAAGGACCAATCATGACACTCTCGTTCGAATAACTTAGATTTGATTGAATCTTTGCTCTAAATTGTAGATTGCACACTCTACTATAGGAATGAGAAAGCATTCTAATCCATCTACAGACATTGCCTGAGAAAATGAAACAAACAAAAACTACAAAAAACATTTCCTATAATATTCTAAAGATGTTTTTGAAAATTAAATTTGGTCCCTCTAATAAAAACATTGATAATTAATTGCGTATCGTTAAAAACACATATCAACAATTTTGAGATGCAATTAAAATTATTCAAAAAAGGTGTTGATCTACTTAGAGAATCGTCATTAGTTTTTGAAAAATAACTAAAACACTTCTAAGTGTGGTTGGACTCACAAAAACGGATTATTTATCTCTTACTTGACTTGTGATTGCCCTCGATCACAATGAAAGGTCTCCTTTGTCTTCCTGATGGCAGTTCCGGCTCTTCCATGTAAAAGCATTCATTTTCGAATGTTTCCAGAATTTGTTTGGCAAGAGGATTCTAAAAAACGATTGTGTAGCATTTAAATTCATTCGATATGGTAAATATAACACACATAAATACAAAATAAAGTAATTAGTTCATTAAGTAAGTTTTAAAGGTTAAACAGAAAAAAATGTGCAAATTAATCTATTAAAATGTGTACTATTTGTATAAAGTGTATGAATTAATTTACACTCAAATATACAGTAGCTCATTTTGATATACTGCATCGTAATTGTTGATGATTTGTCTAGCTTACGTCAGTGATATTGTTTAATTTGAAAAGACTATAAAACCATCTTTGTTTACAATAAATCCATAACCATGTCCAATCCAATGCATGTTTACAAGTGTTCACCATCCACGGATGAAGGGGTGATTCCATGTCAAATAAACATTTTATTATGAGATAGAAAATAACTCTTCAGGACCTATACAGATAGATATGTAGCGTACTCCTCGTTGGTAAATATATTTAGAATTTAAGATGTGCCTGTAAGTGCAACAAATCGCGCTTTAAACTACGATAAGGAGGCAAAGTGATTTTTAACAAGAACAGAGAAATACAACGGATAACTATTAAAGGATAGTTTGCAATAATGGCACACAACAACCAACTGACCGTGTTGTTTCTGAAGTAATCTTTGACGCTGTCCAAGCCTCTGAACAGTCGTGTAGAATCCGCCACCTCCTCGTCCAGTAGGTCTGCTCTAGTCCCTGCAATGTCACTCGTAATTAGGCTTAGACGTTTAAGTTATTTAACCGTTGGAAAATGAGATTTCTTATGCATCAAGACTAACAATAATTATTAAAAAGTAGAACACTCATAATTGGTTATATATTATAAGGGCATACACAATATACTATATACAGAAAGGTTCGAAATAGCTAATAAAACTATTATTAAAGTTATACAGTCAAGATTGTGGTACCCGTCAAAGGCCTTTTACCAAATACAAATAGAGCCATGTAGCACATCAAATAAAACTTAGAGAGGGAAGATTTGCCGAAAATTATTAGCGTGAACGATTTCCTAAGGACTTTGTCCAACAGGTTGATTTCCAAAGGGCTACGCCTTAAATGCTTTAAACGTTTAAATTATCCATGTACTAATAGGGAAGCATGTTTCTTTAAAACCTTGTTTCTCAGCTCGTGTACATCAGAGGGAAAATCTACGCATATTGTAAGAAGATTTTTTCCTGTAGATGTGCAGAATCCCTTTATAAATTAAAATAGGCTCAAAAATAAGCACAAACAATGAATTTAAAATAACAAAATAACATTGGTGTTATGGGTTGCCATGCTGGTGACGAAATGACAAGAAAATATAAACAGAAAATAAAAACAAATGGAAGAAATGTCAATCACATGTTTTATTGTGGGGTGAAAGTAGAGAAGTCTGCACATTACATATTTATGGTCGAGTTTTCGACCACTGGACAACCTAGGGTCTAATTAATTAAATGAAATTGCTGGGATATGCAATTAACAAGCGTTTATTTATCTACTTGAAGTCGTTTTATTGTGCTTTATCTTTATTGTGGAAATTTGTGGGTTACTTAGGATGAAGGATATTATAATGTAGGCCTATGTTCAGTTAAAGGTAGTACTGTAATGGTTTTGTAGAATATTGCTTACAATTTTCTTTGTTAAGTTACATGCTTATGCAGGGTGGAAAAAAGTCCCGGGAAGGTTAAATATTTCAAAAAGTAATAAAGATCCACAATATACCCACGAAGGTGTACCAAACTGCAACAAAACGTCAAACCATTCATACAGTATCAATTTTTTACATTACTTAGGTCTTGTAAGAAGCAAAGGTTTGTTCTAAATAAATAGCTTCTTAAAACACAATTTAACCAACGCAAAAACGTTACAAAAGTATTCAAACTATTTGGACCTAGGGAGTTTGGACATTATTTTGTTCTATGTGCTAAATAAGGAACCTCAAAATATTATAAACGCCAAAAATGCTAAAACAAGATGCTTTACCCGTGCTTCGCAACAAAAAAGTCTAACAACATATCTTAGTGAATCAATAAAATCAATTACTTGATATTGATGCTTTATTAAAAAGGTGCTTTACCTCAGTTCTTAAATTTTAAGGTATTTTTACCTATAGCTTAATATAAAATATTTCAAAAAGTGATAAAGATATACCTTCAAAACTTGGTACACAATTCCTGATGATTAAAATCATTTTAACACATAATTTAGTGTACTCACATGTACAAGGTGTACATGTTACTAATATTTAAGTTGAACCCTTAACTAAATAAATGGCTTTTCATTACAGTTTTGCCATTCAATTTTTTTTTTGTAAAATTAAAAATGAATAATGTTAGAGTGTAGGTGTTTTAAACGAATGTAATTTATAAATTAAATTTATTTTACCAAGTTATTAATTCGTAAAATTTTATAATCGAGTTAGAATTGAATTTTCGTAATGTTTTTACTTTTACTACGTATGTAATGTGGATCTTACGTTGGCCGGCGACATGGTGTCCCCAAATGCACACACACACTAGTGAAGTGGCCACTGTTATCATCACCGGTCCATTGCCAAGGCCTTATCTCCTCCACCGTAATGGCACATTCTAATTTGAATGATCTGAATTGCAAGTCAGCTATTTGACCTCGTGACACTATTTATGTTTACATCGAAGTTATTTGATTATGACCAAAGTCACTACGGCAAATAATTGTTGAAGTGAAATAGATCGGTTTCTATTCTATATTTTTACGAAAACAATTCTGGTTAGAATCAACGCGTGTGTAAAATTCAAAGTAAATAATATAGTCAGTTGAAAATGGCAAGTGATTTCACAAACGTAGCTAAAACTAACCCAGATAGTAACGGGAATGTTAAGTGAAACAAAAATGTTTAGTTTTTTACTTATTGGCGATGTGAAATTTTACACTCACTAAGAATGAAATAAGTGTTTTTATACATACGAGGTGTTAGCCCGTCCTACGTACGGGAATTCAGTAGTCAGTTAAAAACGTTACAATTATTCAGATCAGCTAGTTTACACATATAAAGACAAAGTTTCTTGCAGTTTTAATGTACAAAAATCCTCTTGTAAACAAATGTTGTGTGACCAAATATGTTTTTATTCCATCATAGGCCTATACGATATGCATTTTAAAACCGATAATTTTACAATAAAACAGCAATTCTGCAATTTTTACTATGCGAAAAGCGTTGAAGTGAGATTTGCAGCCGATTCGCACAGACGCACACTGATTATAAGTAGCCTACAGTAGAGAGAGTAATAGTCAATTGAGAAGTGTATAGACCTAGTCAACGATACCACCTTCCATAGCATACCTGCCTCTTCCATAATTATTATCACCACAATACAACTACTATACACAATTTCCAGTAGGTCTGAATAGAAACGACCTAAAATAAAACGATGATATCCAATAAAATTCATAGTACACATAATTTAACTTTGGTGTCCAAACATCAAAACTAATCGTCACACCTATCCTTTATATCAATTTCACTGCATTAATTGCTAAATAAATAAGTGTAAACAAAGAAAAGTAAAAACAATAACAGTTTGTATTGAAACAGCTGTTTGGTTCAAATAGCATTCATTTGAAAAAAAAAGAACTGGTCACATGTAGCAGGAATATAAAAAGTAAACACGCTAGTAAAGCTAATGACGTAATTGTCAATGTTTATTATCCATACCGTTATCAGTTCTATCCTTGTTAATTACCCACCCCCATTGAATAAATGCACATCGTAATTTCCCATATTAGTTAATTTAAACTACAATATATTCATAGTTGAAATAACTCTTGAATATCAGAAAGAAAATAAACGGTATCAGCAATCTGACACATACTTTCTCCCATAAGTTTGTAAACAACCTTTATCGTGTATAAAAGTGGTGAGAGTAAATATACGGAAATGGGATTTGTACAATTTTGTTCAGAATTTAAAGGACTATAACATACTAAATTTTTATCAAAATTATTCGAGCCAATTTTGGGAAATCCGATTTTTCCGTTATTTTATGGGGTTTATATGGGGAAATAACATAATTTACAATAACTTTTGAACCGTAATTTTTACAGAAAAGGGATTTGTACCATTTTGTTCAGAATATAAAGGACTATAACATACTAAATTTGTATCAAAATCGTTCGGGCCATTTTTGGGAAAATCCTATTTTTCCGTTATTTTATGGGGTTTTATGGGAAAATCCCCATCTAAAATCAAAATTTCTAAAAAAATGAAAAAACTATCAAAATTGTAAGGACCATAACCTACTATGTTAAATAAAAACTGGATTTTTGTCTAAAATCCTATTTTTCGTTATTTTATGGGGTTTTTATGGGAAAAAAACATAATTTACCATAACTTTTGAACCGTAATTTTTACAGAAATGGGATTTGTACCATTTTGTTCAGAATTTTAAGGGTGATTAAATTTTAATCAAAATCGTTTGGGCCATTTTTGAGAAAATCCGATTTTTCCGGGTTTTTATGGGTTTTTATGGGAAAATCCCCATTAAAAATCAAAATTTCAAAAAAATGAAAAAAACGCCTGGAGATACCATGGATTAGAACCTACATACCAAATTTCATCGAAATCGGACCACAGGTGTAGTCTCTAGCTCTGTACACATCCAGACACACAGACACACACACACGCACACACACACACACACACATACACACACACACACAGACATCACTTCGAAAACCACTTTTTTGGGTCCAGGGGGACCCAAAACGAATATATCCACTCAAAACTCAAACTCGAAAATTTTGACGAAAACAATACTTTCTCCATATACTATGGTATAGGGGGAGAAAGTAAAAAACAGCATTACTTAAATGGTAAATCACATCTGTCATTTTTAAGTGAATCCATCAATACTAATCAAACGCTGCTTTTAGACTATCGATAAAAATAGTTGAGAGATTTATTTAAATATCCCAGTAAATCAATATCTGTCAAAGATAAATCTGAATTTAAACTCGTAATATGATTCGGTAGAATTTGCTCATACTACTGTATTTTGATTCAAGTACAAAAATGAACTCGCCTTACTTTAGTTTATATTACTCTTTAAATATTAAATGGATGAAGAAAGTGAAAGGTACAGTAAAACAAGTTAGAGTAAATATGTTGTAGGTTCATTACTGTAATATTAGTGTAACAAGTTGGAGGGAATATGATGCTAAATTAATTTAATCAAGGAAATACTTTGTTTCCTTCTTTTATCCAACTGCTACAGACTTGTTTGAATCACGGACTGAACTGATTACTTTAGACTAGAAGCTGTATTCTGTTATCTCATCAGCATCGGGCTTTCCATGGTAACAACATAATTTAACTTGAATGCATTTCACATAATTGAAATAACAGGCAATACTATGTCATGTTTCACATAATATATTTATTTAAGTGTACACAAATTTTGTTAATTTTACAATCTCACAATAATTTTAAACCATGAAGAAGAACAAGAGATGACTCAATCAAAATTAATACAACATTAGCCATTTTCATAGTTATTTGTTTAGTTTTAAGCTTTGAGAAAATCCTTTTAATAGTATGTATTGAGGCTAATGGAAGAGTTGCATTGTATAAGCTTGTGTAGCTTAGTCACAAACACGAATATTACTCAACAATATTCGTTGCTATCACTCGTCCTTCAATTAATCCTCCAACGAAATCCACGGCATTCTTTACCACTTAGTTTCATACACGATTACTAGTTTGAACGTAAACCTCGTCAAAACCACTAACCAGCTGATATACCTGTACTATATTTACTGGTACAGTAATGGTAAAGTTATGGGCAAATATAACAACACTAGAGAAAATTGTGACTTTGCAATCTAGTTTATCTTAAACTTTTAACATACTGCAAGTAATTTCGGGTAAATGACCTATGCAACTACACTCAAATCTATTAAATCTTATTCTGAAAGTGAGAAAACGCCCAAAAACGTCATTAGCCATTGGTAATTAAAAGAAGCCATAACTTTGGCTGAATATTTAGATTATAAATTACTGCTTTTTGAACGTGCTTGTAAAGCTGTGTTTCATGCCCAAAATATTGAAATGATTATTCCACAACGCAACATGTAATTGCTGTAATTGTTTTACCAGGGTTCAAACCAAGGTAAGAATTGTTAGGTAGGGGTGCAAGTTTAATTGGCAAAGTTTGTGTAGTCATAGTCACATGGCTGTGTCGTCACGTTACCGGCTGCGGTAGAGAGGAGGGGCGTGTGCACAACGCAGTTATGATATGGTAATTATCAACAGATAAGATCGGCCAAGTTAGATAACCTGTCTGCAACAGATGTTTATGGATATGACAGCACGTTGACGCGTCCGACGTCCCGCTGTCAACACTGCAACTTGTAGCTCTTGTTATGCATACAACTAACTGGTCTGGGACGGTGTGCACCTCGTCCCGCTGTCTAGCTAACAACACTGCAACTTGTAGCTCTTGTTATGCATACAACTAACTGGTCTGGGACAGTGTGCACCTCGTCCCGCTGTCTAGCTAACAACACTGCAACTCATGTCTCTTGTTATGCATACAAATACAACTACAACTAACTGGTCTGGGACAGTGTGCACCTCGTCCCGCTGTCTAGCTAACAACACTGCAACTCATGTCTCTTGTTATGCTTACAGCTGATCTGGGACAGTGTACTGTACACAGTAGGCTACACTTCGCCCCGCTGTGTAGCTAGCAACATTGCAGCTTGTGTTTGTTATGCATACAGCCGGTCCAGGTCAGTGGACACCACGTCCCGCTGTCTAGCTACCACACTGCAACTTGTGACTCTTGGTTATGCATACATGCAATAAAAAAAAATGTCATTAATCGCCGGATGGTGTACATTGTCAGTCTGGGACAATGTACACCACATGTCCCGCTGTCTAGCTACCACACTGCAACTTGTGTCTCTTGTTATGCATACAGCATACAGCTAGTCTGGGACAAAGTACACCACATGTCCCGCTGTCTATCTAGCAATACTGAGACTATAGTGTTTCTTGTTTATGCATACATATACTTCCAGTGCCTGCCTGAGTGGGTGGACCGTAAAGGTAGTATTACAAACTATATAAATGGCTGAGAAACATTATATAACTTATAATTCGGTAAGCACTCGTTTAACTGAGAATGATAAGGTTGTTCCTTGTTGAAATATTATTAGTCCGGTCATTAAAGAGAAATATATAGTGAAGGTTCAACAAAACTGTTTCAAAGGGTTTCTCAACGGATTTCATTCTCCACACAACACAAAAAAGTCTACCGAAATTTGTCTTGGGGAAATACCTGATTTTAGGGTATTTAAATTAAAATAATAAGAGCTCCTAGAAAAAAATAGTTAAAACATTATTGCTATATGTACGGTGTAATATATCGTTTCCCTACAGTTACCTAACAATGTACATGTTCTCTCACTGATTTAAGAAAGCAAAGTGGCCAATTCGCTCATCAGTGAGACAATGTTAACATTGTCTCACTCTAATTACTTTGTCTCACTCCAGATTTGCAACGTGAAGGCACGAAATAGTGAGCGCATAGTAACATGCATACAAGGTCGTATGCGCGCGAAATACGTTGGCAGCACTGGCTGTAAATCAGCTGGTCAGCTGTTGTACTGTTGTATCATTAAATGTCATATTAAAAGTTCACTTCTGAGTAAAAATATGTTACGTTTCTTTACCAATTTATTTGTTTTATGGTAATTGTAGGAAAAATATAATGTGCAACTCGAGTGCAAAGTGCAATTGCCTCACTCGAGAAACCATTCCTCACTTCGCTCACTAGTTGCACAAGTAACTATTTTCAATGTTTAGAAGGGTGGGGAAACTAAATATGCAACTTAAAACGTGGTTTGACCTAATTTAATACCACAAAATGGCCGCCAAAATAAGTTCTATGGAAGAAAACTAAATAAAAATTTACCTTTAGATATTGGGTGTAGTATGTCAAACTCAAATCTTTACAAGGTCGGCAAATCAAAAAATGCAGCTTAAAATATGATTGCTCTAATATAAAGTAATTATAAAGTATAGTATAAAGTTCAAAAGTTCTTTATGAGATCTTATTAGTATCTCTCATGTTTTTACTAAGCTGAGTACATACATCAAAGTAACACCTATGAAAAACCCTTTGTTAGTATACAAAATCCTCCAGCTTGATGACTTGAATTAATTTTATAATATTGCTAATATAGATCTTATGTATCAATCAAATCTTACGAAAGCGTACATGTAATCTATATATTAATTTGAAACTGTTTTTCTTTGTCACAGCTATTTTGAGAGAACGGCTGGGCGTAGAAACTCGGTAGAGGTGTCTAAAGAAAGGTTTTGGTCTGTAGATGAGCCATCAAAAGAGAAACATGGCGAATTCCCTTGGGGCTCTACCCCCGTGGCCTTTCAATTCCCATCCCATGTTATTCTTATGGAGGAAAACGGGGTTTTTGTCACAGCTAATTTGAGAGAACGGCTGGGCGTAGAGACTTGGTAGGGGTCTCTAAAGAAAGGTTTTGGTCTGTAGATGAGCCATCAAAAGAAGAATGAGGTAAATTCCCTTGGGGCTCTGCCCCAGAAGCCTTTAAACTTGCCTCTTCAGATTTGTTTACATTACGACCATATGCATAATTCTACACTACTTTGAAACAGCTGTTAATATACTAAATTTGTCAAAATGAAGTATTTGCAAAGGTTTTTTTCTGATTTTAAAATCGATTTTCTTCTGCATCCTGTCATGTTTTGCAATATGATGTTGTAATGTTGTAATGTTATAATGTGCAATCCAAATCAGTGGAAAATCCTAATATCACAGTAACTCTTAAAATTATTTCTTATGGAGTTAACTTATGTCTATTGTATAGGTTGGTTTCTGCCTTTTTTTACCACTTCTTGGAGATTGTACGACGTACGTAGGCGTGTTGCACGTAGATGATGTTCTTTGGCGTATTGCATCTGTAGACGATACTTGGGTTGGTGTAATTATTACAATGGAAAAAAGCGAGAAATCCTGGACAATTTGATATAGGCCTACTAAAAATAAAACTGAATTAGAAGAAATAGAAATAATGTTTTTTTCTTCATTTATAATCGTTATTATAGAGAAACTAATGCGGCTATGAGTGGGAAACATTTGTATAAAACTCTAAAAAACAAGATCAGCTTTTAAAAAAAGATAAGATATTTACAAACAATTTTGGTTATATCTAACTGTTGTGTACATCGAGAGTATTTCCATAATCTTTGAGTCGACTTTTATAAAGTCATCGGAAATTATGACCGTTATTCGTTTTTAAAAAAAACCTGTAATGCTTCGCAATTGCTCGAATTCGAGCAACAGGTACACTAGTTTATATTTAATTAAAACTAGTTAAATACAAATTCTGAAAAATTACAGTCGCTATTTACTCACTTAATTCACCAAAACATGAACACGGTTTATATCGGAAACGTACTCTTTTTCACTTGGATTATTTTATATTTGTATCACAATCAAACGTTCTTTCCAATGATCGAATACTCATGTTCGACAATAATCTTGCAAATCTATGTTGTCTTATATTGATCTTTTTCTGCTATGTTGTGTTCTGTCTTGAATATAATAAATTATATCTGAAAGTGATAGTAAGGAAGGTACCAACCCCTAACTGGTGTACATTTTAATCGAGTCCTGATTATAAAATTTACTATTAAAAAAAAACTTTTGTTCAACTTACGATTAACCTAATTTTTAATTTAAAATATGACGCCATTATTCCTTGAAGGAAATCCCTAAAAACATAGGCTGAATAAGCAAAATAAACACACAAATTTCATAATGAAGGAGGTAAATAAATTAGTCATTTATCAGATGTTTGATAAACTGTGAGGTTTGTTGTCATCATCAGAAGCACATTCGTTTATAATGATTTGATGTATTTCGTTCGCCGTTTCCCCGTAATCTTGTTGTACCTTTACTATTTTTACATTGTAGATAGATGATAGTTTACGATACAAATCCAGAGACCTAAAACAAATAGAGATGCATATTTTAGATTTATGACACTTATCACCCAACACCCAATTGCATACTAACATAGCAATTGGGTTATTGGGGTAACACCCCTCCCGCCTAAGATATTGACACACTTTCAAGCGTACTTGCAATTGTACTATTTAGTACCTATTACTTCCAAGCGATAGGTACTTAAGTTTATAAGGTAGGTAGTTTGTCTACGAGTTTAAAACAAAAACTGATCAACTAAAAAAGTTCTGATTTATATTTCGAACTTATTGTAAGTAATGGCTATGGCTATACCACTGAAAGTAGTTTGCTGTATTTTATTTTAGTTTCTAAGCCAGTAAATTTGTTCCTCACCTAGGTTTCCAGTTGTTGTGACTCCTCTTAATGAACGGTCGCTGGTCCAGTTGGTCCGGATGGTCCAGGTAGATGATGAGGTCTGGCTGCAGCAGCTCCGTCGGCCACCTGTAGATGGGGGTCGTCACCCGGGGAAGTCGTCCGTACTGGAACGACTGGATCAACGCGAACGTTAACTGGTCCAGCCAGAAACTATGGAAATAAACAAAAATCATCCATCCTAGCTGTATTAGTATGCTCTAAAAGCCATATGTTAAAAGAAAAGGTTGGAAAAGCTAGGTGAGATAAAAGTCTGCCAATACATTCTCTTGACCACTCTCTATCGCAGGGCTCTGACATGCCTCACTAGCCATTAACCTAATATTGCTTTATACAGATTGGTGCTATTCCATGTAGTCCAGCAATACTCGTGAGTGCGGGCTTTTGATTCAACTTTGGCTCAGAATTCCTTACTTTCAAGGGCCGTCGGATCGGTGGGATAGACTAGCAGCCACGAGTATTAAAATACTGAATCTACTTTTAAAATGTTTTGGCAGAGGCAGTAGGAAGTGAACCTCCATGACTACGGCTAGCTCTCCGTAGGCAACGCCACTAAAGAAGGGTGGACTAAGAACATCACAGACCTACGCTTGCTGGACGGCTAGCTAATATTAATAATTATTTTGCTCAAAGTTTCTCCGACTCTCACAGCAGCACACGTTATGCGCACTCTCAATGTGAGTTGGAAATCCAGCCTTGATGTTTTATACCCTGCTTGGGAACAATCACTACCTAGTGGTCATAAACACCGGTTCAGTCACATGATTGAGCCATGTGCTACACCCCTATCTATAAAGAAAAGTAAAAAAAAACTGTAAAATATTGTAGATAGCCTATAATTTTGTTTTGTCAGACACATTGTTTTTGTATTATAATTGTTGTATATTTAAGTTAGTTATATTGACATGAGTTACTTTGTAAAACAGTTCTTGTACTGAAAGACGCTCGTAAATAAAGGCATTTTTATTTATTTATTTATAGATTCTTTTGTGTTATTCCACATGGCGCGTTGAAAGTCTTACCCATTGAGGACGACGGGAGTGACCTTTGTCTGTCTGGTGACATCCAAGGAAGTTGCGTACAACGACAGGATGTAGTACGCCCTTCTCAGCAAGGATCCTGACGGGAGTGTGTACATGAAGTCCCTGAGGCAAGGAGCAGGATGCTTCACAAACACACCTCCAAGCATCTTGGACAGCCTGAACGATATCGCCTCTCTACCTACGACAGATGCATTTACTTGGACCTATGATGTGATACAGCAAAAGGAATTCAAATTACCTAATTAATGAGTAAATATTTTATCTGTATCTCAAGCTGATGTTCCAATTCATTAAACTCATTTGCTTTTCAGAATAAAAAACAAACCGAACCTAATTAGTAAGATTTATAACATGTCAATTCAAGTTGCCTACGTGTGAGATTTCATGGTAGCTACATACAAGGTATCGTAAGAGCATTTGAATGTTTTCCACACTAAACTCCTCAATTGTACCAACAGTAAAGTGGTAGTGTGTTTATAAAGGTCAATTGCAATCACAAAAGCAATATTTTACAAGAGCACCGCCCAATATCCATGCATAACCTTTTGAGGGATCTTTTCACTCCAACTTGCTTCTATTGTATTCCGTGTGATCTAGTTTGTACGTATTTAGAATCATAATTTATTACCCAGAATACAATATTGATAGTCAATTCCTAAATTGTGAACTATAAACATAAAGTTAAGTAAATTATCAGATTTTTTGTGTTGTGCAACACGTATGGAATTAACATCATAATGGTACTGTACTAAATGTGTGAAAAAAATGTTATACAGATGTACATGTATCTAATTTGTTTTCAGAGACCGACGTAAAGTTTTGTAATTAAAAGAATTTCTGTTGCCTTAAATTACTTATAGTCCCCACAATATATTTAATAAAAACAAACATACATATTCTTAAAACTTACAACATTAGAATAATTACTACACGTTCGAAGAATGAAATATTAAAACTGTATCGTCAGAGATAGAAATCGAAGAAAAGGTTTGACATAACCTGAAAATAGTGTAAACTAACAAAAACTTAAAAGCTTGAGATATCATGTAAGCTCGTCTTTACAGAAGGCCAAATGTGTTGGATTGAAAACAATGTTAACACCCAGAATGACGGCGGCGTTGGCTGTTGGATTTGGGATAAGCAAACAATCAATCACGACTGAGGCGTCGCCCATAGTGTAAACTAGGTCCGACCTGCACTTGGTCATCCCGATCAGCTGTTAAAGTAGCACATATTATATTATGGTTCCGATTAGGTTGTAATCATAAAGATATAATTTATTGTTACTAGTGTACCAGTTGCTCGAATTCGAGCAATTGCGAAGCATTACAGGCGTTATTTTAAAATAATTCCCGATGACTTTATAAGAGTCAATTCAAAGATTATGGAAATACTCAAGATGTAGACAACAGTTAGATATAGTTAAAAGTTTTTTGTAAATATCTTATCTTTTTTTCAAAAGCTGATCTAGTGTTTTAGTGTTTTCTACAAATGCTTCCCACTCATAGCCGCATTAGGTTGTCTATAATAACGATTATAAATTAAAAAAAAACGTTATTTCTATTTCTTCTACTGTACTTGGTTGTGTTCTATGACTTTCCTGTTTCCATTGTTTGCAAATTGGCTCTTTCAATTATTGCTCAAGAAATGTAGCACAGTGTTAATATTCAGTTTTATTTTTAGTATATCAAACTGTCCATAATTTCTCGCTTTTTCCATTGCAATTTTAAAAATGACACCAACCAAGTATCGTCTACTACAGATGCAATACGCCAAAGAATATCGTCTACGTACAATCTCCAAGAAGTGGTAAAAAAGGCAGAAACCAACCCATACAATAGATATAAGTTAACTCAATAAGAAATAATTTTAAGAGTTACTGTGATATTAGGATTTTCCACTGATTTGGTAAAATAACATTATATTGCAAAACATAGCACGATTCAGAAGAAAATCGATTTTAAAATAAGCAAAAACCATTGCAAATACTTCATTTTGACAAATTTAGTAAATCAAAATTTAAATATTAACAGCTGTTTCATTAAAAAGTAGTGTAAATGTATGCATATGGTCGTGATGTAAACAAATCTGAAGAGGGGACTTTAAAGGCCTCTGGGGCAGAGCCCCATGGGAATTTACCTTGTTTCTCTTTTGAAGGCTCATCTACAGACAAAGACCTTTCTTTAGAGACCCCTACCAAGTTTCTACGCCCAGCCCTTCTCTGAAATTAGCTGTGATAAAAACCCGTTTTTCTTCCATAAGAATAACATGGGATGGGAATTTAAAGGCCACTGGGGCAGAGCCCCAAGGGAATTTACCACGTTTCTCTTTTGATGGCTCATCTACAGACCAAGACCTTTTTTTAGAGACCCCTACCAAGTTTCTACGCCCAGCCGTTCTCTCAAATTAGCTGTCACAAAGAAAAACAGTTTCAAATTAATATATAGATTTGGTCACTGACAGGAGTTCGGCATATTAATTGTTGATTAAAACTGCATAATTTTGTAATCTATATAAATAAAATTAGAGTTTTGTCTGTACATTGCTCAGAATTATATACTTTTAGGTTATTTTTACGTTTTATACATTAAAGAAGCAGAAACGAGTCTTATCTCAATTTCTGTCTGTCTGTCTGTCCCTTTGTCTGTAACACTCAAGATGGAATTTTACGCAATCTTCTTCGTGAAAACCAGAGTACCTATCAAGATCCAAGCCATTTTAATGTATTCACTGGATTGGCGAGAGTGTCTTTAGTGATTTAAATATAGCCTCACTACTTTGTAAATAAAATTACGGACGTTCAAAAATGCAGTTTTGTGCGATTTTTGTCAAATTTTCGTTCAATTTTTATCACATAATCGTCTATGAAATAGCGAACAGCTGTTCGGATCAAGATTATTTTTTCTAGCTGTCAATGACATGTTTACAAATGTTGTTTACAAATACCGCAACTATTTCGAATCACGTTTTGAAAGCAAATCCCAACCAAGTGAGATTAAAAACGTTTTTCTTACATAACGGATTTAATTAATCGCAAGTGCAATAATATAGTCTAATAGTGTAACCGTAAATGAAATTAAATAACTAGACATCGTCCAAATCGGAATCAGAAATTCTTTGAGTATAAAATGTTTCTTGAGTTTTGACAACCAGAAAGAAGAAGACCTTGAATCAGTGTTGTATAGGGCTGTGACACTGAAATGATCGTCGCCAATAGCTTACAAAAAAGGTTTCCACTCATTGACGGCGCTTCAATGGCGGTTGTGTAAAGTGTAAAGTAAAAAATCACAACTGCAGTGGGTGATTGTAACAGAGGTTTAACAGAGGAAGTTCTAAACTCGCTTTTCCAATGTGTCACTTTCTGTTTCTACTCACCGTGTGATGCAATCGCTGGACCATACAGCCAATAGGCCCATAGCTCATACCTTGGGTACGTAAGCCTACATATTTATTCATAACAACCTTTTTGACGACGATCCTTGATACCGGTACTTTTCCATAGAATACATGGCCTACCTACTTAAAAAATAAAATTACAAATGACCAAAACCCCAACATTGTCTGATTTTCGTCACATTTCCTTCTAATGTTAATAGATATACTAATCATTGTTTAGAGAATGCGTAATCTATTAAATAACAAAAAAGTTGTTTGGGTAAGGATGCTTTTTTTTCAAACTGACACCGATAAGTTTACGCTATAACTTTTTACGAGAAAATCCAAAAGCAAGAGATCAATAACCTCGGGACTAGATATTAATGTATTTAATTGGTCCGATTTACTATAGTTCTTAGGTAGGTTCTTACGTAGGTACTGGTTCTTTTCCTTAGAACCGGTAGTTTACAAATTTGATATCGTTGGTGTTGCACCTTATTTATTAGAGCCGTCCGTATTCAATTTAAGTGATGTCTTAACTCTGTATAAGTTTTGCTTTTTCTGTCTGGATTCCAAATCTTAGCTTACCCGGTATGCTAAGAAAATGATAACCTATTTGAGTAAAACATTTGTTGGGCAAACCATCATGAATTGTTTACGCCTTTATATTGTTTATGTATCAATAGTTCGTGGCCTTTGTTGGATTGTTGTATTGTGTTGTTTTGTTGTATGTTGGTAACGCATTAATGTCCTTATTTCTCAGTGTTTCACGGAATGGACAAGAGCACCTTTGATACTGAAAATGTCAACCGGAATAAAGTGTTAAATGGTGAGGTTGAGGTAGTACTTTAAATGCGTTTAAGTTAACCGATGTGGAAAGTAACTTTCAATTATAGGCCTACTTTAGGGCTACGCTTCATGGATCTATAAAAGATTTTTTAGTTTAATCATTGGACATATGGACCAACACGATCCGGGTGACATTTAATTGCGAAGCATTTATTTTGGCTTGAACTGTCAGATACTGTATTTGCGAAGGTTTATAATATAATAGTTTTGCCAGCATATCTTCAAATATGCAAACTAATTGCTGTTCTTAATCTTAATATAAGAAGGTTTCAACTGACTACTATAAGATCCCCGTGCGTAGAACGGGCACAACAGCTAGTCTTACTATATTTGTGGGTATTAAATTGAAAAGAAAAATGCTTAGGTGCTGTAAATAGTACATATTTAATTGTAAGTAGGATAGTGAAATTTGTATTTTTCTAAGCCTTTACAAATATTTCTTTACTATTTTTTTGAAAATTCTGTAGTTTTTGCAGCTATTGTTAAGAAAATGGACATCTTTCAAGATTGGTACATAATAATTAAATTTGCTTTGCTAAAAATAAAATAATAAAACACTTAGAGAAATTAAAAAAAGACCCCCTTCTAACCCCCCCACATGCCCCCCTTCTAAGAAGAGGCCTTCTTTTAAGAAGAAGGTTGGTCGGTCTTATAAAATATATCAATAATATCATTACATTTACAGCACATGGGTTACTTTAGTAGCAGGAGGTTGATATAGCAGTCAGTACAGTTTACACGGCTATGTAAATTGTATTGATTGGTCAAATGTAACTACATCCGTAGTCGTAATATCTCTGCTAAATATTTTCTGCATAATTAATGTCAGTAACCTTTACTCACTTGTGCGGTTGTTTCCTTCTATTACAATGAAAGGATTTTTGCGTTCAGTTTCCGGTTCCTGTATCGAGGAGGACCAGTATTGTTCAAACGTTGTAATAATTTCCTTGGCAAAAGGATGCTGTAACAAAAGTATAAAAAAACATGAGTTGCGCCAATATTTGTAAGGTTAGAGTTTAAAGATGACAGTAGTTGAATACAGTCAATCGTTGGAGAAAACTTTATCCTTTAATTACTGGTTGCATATTTACAATATTTAGTAGTGCCATATGATTACCTAAAATGCCACATAAGTTACAAAAATTGGAAACATACGAGTTTCAAAAGTTTTTGATAATATAATCAATATATGCATATCATAGTGTTAAAATACAAAGTAATTATTGTAATTAAATATCATTATTTTGATTTAACATGAATTCGTTTTCAGTTGCGATATGAAAGGTGGAACGTTTAGAATATATACTTAACTAAAAACAATATGAGAACTCACCACACTAGTTTTGAAGTATCGAAGCACTGGCATCAGCCCAGTAAACAAGGATAACACGTCTGTTACTTCCTCATACTCTAAACAAATTCAATAATAAATTAATGATTTACTCTGAACTATATTAATCTTTTTATATTATGTTGGTTTTGATAGATGTTAAACTAAAATGAGTAAAGTAAAATAAAATGTCTACCGAATGAAAAACATACTGTGGGATGAGCCATGTAATAAAATATAGGATTGACATAATATGACACTATAACAATAAGTGTGGACAGAGCTGACTTATTTCCCTTCAGATAAGGTATTAGAAGTATAAGAGTGTGGTACCTTGCTCGACGATATGACGAGTGCCCGATAGACGGTCCTGGACATGTTTGAACACATTGGTGGTAGTTTCGCGGTCGCTGTCCGTCACCTCCTCTATCACGATGGGGTAGAACGCCTGCAGAGATTTGTACATCTCCAGCGTGCTGACCACAAGTCACAACAAACAGTGTTAAACGACCAATTCTAATATATAATTTGTTTAATGTTAAATCTGATCGTGTTTGGCTGTGTACTTGTCTACTAGCCTTTTAAACACACATAAAGCCTACAGCACTCTTATAATGTAAATGCACTACATCACTTATGTTAACTACATTTTAAATATGTTCCGTTGTTTAAATTATAACTTTAGTTAAACGCAATGGTTAAGCATTAAAACAGTCGAATAGTGGTTTAAATTTGTAGTAATTATCATTACTATAGTTTAAAGTATCGGCTACAATGCTGTATTTAAAACTGAATAAGTGTAGAATGAGGTGAGGCAATGCCGCACTAGAAAAACAGGCCATGCTGTAGAACCCATGACGTCACACTAGTGGATAGATTCACTACCATATTCCATATGTTTTAGGTAAATAAGCTGGCTATTTTAATGGTTTTAATGGTAAGATTTTAGTACAACTATCCACCACTGTGACGTAGATTTGCGCTGCCCGTGCTGCAACATGGCCTGTTTTTCTAGTGGGGCATAGGGTGAGGTGTATTGCGTTACTGGTTAAGATTCGCTGCTTCTTTAGAAATGACCGGTAACTACTCCAATGTCAATGGAGTCCATTATTTCACTACGTTGTCTTACAGTAATACCTTGTAGAAACACTAGTAGATGCTTTGTTGTCAGTCGGGTTGTCCGAGAGAAGGTAAACGCTGATGTCCGGGGGAAGCAGTTCATCTGGCATACGGAACTGGTCAGATGTGACGTCATACACTTGTTCAGACCGTGCAACTTGGGCGAGAGAGAACGTCACCTGATCATGCCAGTACCTGCGACAAGTAAACTTATATGAACCAGGAAGGCGCACAAGGTCTAGAGGTAGTCTAGTGTATATTTGTGTGGTTGCTTAGTATTTTAATTTTAAATGATTCTAAGTCCTGCACGTAAATGTGTATAAGACAATAAAAGGAATATTTTATTTGATTTAACACTGTAGACTATAAAAAGCTCTGGGTATAGCGCATATCTTCTGCTAAACATACGAGTACTTACCATAAACATGTACACATGGACACATGGATGGATGATACACATGGAATCTAAGAAGTATAGTAGGGTATCTAACAATCCAAGATAACCGAGAGCTATCAATTAAAAATATTGAAAAATGTTGATATTACGATATTTTCTTTCGCTTATTATAATTTATAATAGTTAGACTATAAAATGTTTTAACCCATTGTTTACTGAGAGTCTGAACATGCAGTTGTTCCCATTTAGTACAACAGACTGATCATGTAGATTTTTACATACATATAGAAATTTCATAACATGCATCGTCTACAATTAAGCACCAATTTTGAAAATGCAGTGTAGCCATTTATAGAACGAAAGTCTAAGCATACAGTGGTTTACCAATCCAATATGAAAGTGCGAGTATTTAAGGTAGGTTGCGTTTACATTGGAGGCACGCTTGGGCAAGTAAAATAGTGGCGTACGCTTGGCCAAGCTTGCCCTTTGAAACAAATTGTAGCAGATCACTGGAAACCGGTGGCGACTTGTCCAGTCATGGTTACAGTGCTCGTCACTAGCAAGCGCACGCTGGAACAAGCTTGCGCCTCTCAAATCACGAAACAAATAAATTTGTTTTTGAAGCTTACCCATTGAGAACGACGCCTTTGTTGGTGCTGAGATGTGCTTTGACGCTGTGAGACACGGCGTACAGTGAGAGTATGTAGAAGGCGCGACGCAGGACACTCGCCTTGGGCAACACGTCCATGTACTTGACCAGACAAGACGCCGGGTGCACCATGTATCTGGCGTTCATCTTGCGAGCCAACCCCTTACCGACGTTCTCCCTATCTGTACAAACACGGTGGAGTTATTGTCAAATCTAGAATGATGATCAGTTAGTGAATATGAGACATCTTGGCCACTAATAACAAGTGGAAATTGAAAAGTAAAATTTGCGTACAATGAATTTAATAACAATGGCTAATGCTTAGATTAGTGAAAACATATTAGCGCCCACATTTACTAAAAGCCCCACAAAAGGGCGTGTCGTTTTGAAAATATAAATATAGAAAAAGAAACATAGTTAATTGTGATATATATTAATGAGATTGGGAATATTACAACTATATACCACAAAGAAGTTGATTTGTGCGTCGCTTTGGGTGACAAAGTGCAAAACTTTCTCACAGATTGTCCACTACAGTTGTGTTTATTCCGAAGCTACCATCTTTTTAGAAACAATAGCAACTTTCACTTATTACAAACCGACTTTCAGAGTTCAGAACAGAATTACGAACTGAAGTTTGCAACTTGAGTTCTAGGGTATATATAATTAGTTAGTACAAGATAGTTAAACTCATTAAAGCTAGGCGCCCACCGGGCAACCAAGCGGGTGACGCGACGCGACGCGGCACGGCGCGACGCGGAGAAAAACTTCCGTCCGCTTCTCCAGGGTTCGCGCCCACCAAGCAATTCTAGCAGAAGCGCGGGGCAGCGCGGAGAATTATTCTTTTGGAGGGGATGCACAGTGCACTTCGATTCGGACCCGAACACTCCCGAAGGGCTCGCGATACTTTCCGAAAACACCCGAATGAGCGGCAGACGAGGGGCAGACGCCGTTTCCGTACCTCTACCCCGCGCCCACCAGGCAACTCAACGGAGGCGCGGCAACACGAGAGGAAGAAATTCTCCACCGAATTCTCACTGCCGGATTCGAGAAGAAGTTTTTTTCCGCGCCGCGTTGCGCCACCCACTGTGTTGCTAGATGGGCGTCAGTCCATAAGATAACATGGCACGGATACGTGGCAACTTTTTTTCACGGCGCCGGCGTCGCGCCGCGCCGCGTCACCCGCTGAGTTGCCCGGTGGGCGCCTAGCTTAAATCGTCTGAGAGTGCACTTAGGTAATGTGACAATGCTTACTGTTCACTCACTGGTGAGGTCGTTGCCCTCTAGGACGATGAAGGGTTTCCTCGAGGCGCCCCCGGGGATGGGCTTGGTCAGGTTGAATATGCATTCCTTTTGGAAAGTCTCCAGGATGCGTTGAGCAAGAACATTCTGTTGGGACAACATTAATAAGTAGCAGGTAGAACGATCTGTAAATGAGATGCACTGCTACGTACAGGGTGTTTAAGTAACCCAAATAATTACAACTACCATCAGACGCAACAATAAAACCAGTTCATATGATGGCATCCCTGCTTTCTTTACTTCGTAATATGTTATTTTGTATGCTAAAATAGAGCATGCGTGTGAGCTTGTTCTGTCGTTAAACAGTGTCATAGGGTAGGCCTACTTGTAATTTGGGTTGAGTGAAAAAAAATATATAACTCCCTCCATATAATAACATTATATTCAACACTACAATTTACAAAAAAAACACGAATTCTATAATGATAGAAGACATATAATTGAAGTCACTTTTATTAATACTTATACTTAATATTTCTTATGCTATAAACTTCTTGGGAGAAAAGAACGAGTTTAAGCCGATCAATATGCCACTTTTTAGATTATTGGTTTACGCAATATTATTTCTCATGCTATAAACATATAATTCCACCATATATAGCTCGTTTCTGATATTTGCTAAGAAGTTCATAAAGGGGTTGAACCTACCGAATTATTCCTGAAGAAGTTTAAGACTCCTTGAAGTCCAGTGAATAGTTGAAGTCTCACCTCCGTGTCCTCGTCAACATCTGTCATATAGTTAAAATCAGTAGTAAACCTTACAAAACAGTATTATAAAGTTGGAACAAATAATTAGAAGTCACGTATGCTTTAGGTTAATAAGGTTAACACATACTAAAGAGAGTCAGACAGCTATTGTATTCTTAACCTTTGTCTTGCTTTTCCCTTTATTTTAGCAAAATAATGATCAAATACCGGTAGCCATTAAAATTATGTTGTATAGAACTTTTTAATTCAAAATGCAAATCCAATCAATGTGTTCCTAAACCGAACGTTCATTTTTGGTAAATTATATTTAAAGATTTATTGACAAAATAGTGTGTTATGTTTCACATCTATTGGCCTACCTCGCGAGTCCAGTGTTCGTTTGTGAGAGAGTATTCTGACGACGTGGTTGTGAATCACTTCAGGTCTGACGTTTCTGTCCAGGATCATTATAGGATATCTTGTCTGTAGCCTGCGATACATTTCCAGCGATCTGCAATAGAGGTATGTTGGCTTATTGTAGAATTTATGTAACACTACGTGTATGTGACAGGTTCTAGAATTCAAACCGATTCCTCAATAAAAATATTCCCTCCACAGCGAACCTGCAGACTAAGTGGATTTCCATTTGCCTGAGTTGATTTTCAATTAAACCTATTTTAATAACGTTAGGTTTAACGAGTACCTACATTTGCTGCTACAGGGAAATTAATAAAGTGTGTTTTTTAGTAAAACATTAATAGATTACTATAATATAAATAAAGTTTTCCAAGTTTGATCAAAATACAGGATGGTCATAGATTATTGTACACAAATTAAGATTAAATAAAAGAAACAACCAAGCAACTTTGAGAAACATATGAATTGTTTCATTAATGTCAATCCAACCCAAAGCTAAAGTAATGATGCACATAATTAAAGTCACTAGGAAAATAATCAGATGAGCTGGTATTTAAAGTAAAATCGTAATTATTAACACATTACCTTTAAGTTTAGTTCAAAACATTATCCCTACAAAGCTGTCTATCAACAGAAAAAGTCGTTACTCCTTTTTGATCCTTCTACATGTTCTTCAGGTATATTTAGGTCAAATATATTGCTAATTACATGATTAAGTGCCCATATGTTTCGTTCTGATATTGCGTTATTTTCACTGTAAAACTTAGTCTACATCTATTTCCAAACTTTTACTACCAACTTATTTGTGTAATAAAAATAGAATACAAAAAGTGCTTTATTCAAATAATTATTTATTATTTACTCTGTTACGACTGTAATAACCTCAAATGTCTGGTATTTTACCGAGTTCTTAAATGTTAATAAACTATATGTACATTTTAAATCCAATGAGTTTGCAATAAAAAAGCATATTCGTCGTTCTGTAGAAAAAAAACTATATAAGTTGTAGTGTATTAATTTATTCAAATCATACAGGTTTTAATTAACTGAAAATTGTGTAAATACCTGCTTCGTGGTTATCCTGATAGTTGCTAGTGCCGCAACTGGTTTAGAATTCTACTAAGTCATCTTCGGAAACTGCAGTATGGCCGACGGAAGGACAGATACCGAAGATGACTTAGTAGAAAGTCGAACCTAGTTGCGACACTAGCAACAATCAGGATTATCACGAAGCAGGTATTTCCACCATTGTCATATATTCAACGTAATCCAGAGGCTAACATCAAAATTGAGATAACCAATTGATTGTTGAGTTTTTTTGCCTGATACTAGAAGGACCCTAAATTCTGTAAGACGTTTACCTGTTCTGATGCGGGGTTGTGACACGGGGGATGAAAGCGTTGCCACGGTAACGCAGGTTGGATGACAAGTAGAAGGTGATATCAGGTCTGAGCAGGTCAGGAGGCCAACTGAAGAGGTCTGACGTCGCCGCGGGTAGCTCCGGGTAGATCTTCTCTAGAGCAAAAACCACCTGGTCCAGCCAACACCTTTACGGTTCAAACATTGTGTTACATTAGGAGGAAATAGTTCCAGTGACAGAGAAGTGTAGAAGTTTTGAATTTTAATGACGCACACACCAAATACAGGTAGTGAATACTGTTTTTAGGGTATGCTGTCTCAGGGGTTTTTACTGACTTTGTTTGTTAAAATAATTATATATTTTTTAATAAGTAAGTATAACTCCAGACCAGCTAAAAGGATGACTGTTTATGTAATGAGTTGAAAGTTTAACTTTAAAAGCGATTTTGTACCTGAAAATCTATCGTATGAGGCTGGATGAATTTGCCAAAATTTGAGATTTTCGATGTAGTATTAAGTTATTGAGGCAGAATAAATCCTTGCAATATCAAAATCTATCTACTTATTAAAAAAAAATATCCTACTTAAGTAAAAGTTTCGAAGTTTAGTGGCCTCAAAAAACAATAATTGTTATAATGTAATACAGACCCATTAGCTACTACAGGGTGTCCGGCGGCGAGCTGCACTCGTACGTTGAAGTCTGTGGCGTAGAGTGAGAGAACGAAGTATGCGCGCCGCAGGAAGCTGCCAGAGGGGAGCTCAACCAGGTGGCGGATCAGGCAGGGTGCGGGGTTGTTGAAGTAACGACCATTGAACATGCGGGCAAGAGCAACTCCAACCTTGTCTCGACCTGCCCGAGAACATTAGCGAAGTCATCTACATGTACAGTACAGTATACAGACATTAATATACAAAACTGAGACATCCTCAATGAGGTGGCAGGGTGCGGGGTTGTTGAAGTAACGACCATTGAACATGCGGGCAAGAGCAACTCCAACCTTGTCTCGACCTGCCCGAGAACATGAGCGAAGTCATCTACATGTACAGTACAGTATACAGACATAAATATACAAAACTGAGACATCCTCAATGAGGTGGCAGGGTGCGGGGTTGTTGAAGTAACGACCATTGAACATGCGGGCAAGAGCAACTCCAACCTTGTCTCGACCTGCCCGAGAACATGAGCGAAGTCATCTACATGTACAGTACAGTATACAGACATAAATATACAAAACTGAGACATCCTCAATGAGGTGGCAGGGTGCGGGGTTGTTGAAGTAACGACCATTGAACATGCGGGCAAGAGCAACTCCAACCTTGTCTCAACCTGTCCGAGAACATGAGCGAAGTCATCTACATGTACATTACAGTATACAGACATAAATATACAAAACTGAGACATCCTCAATGAGGTGGCAGGGTGCGGGGTTGTTGAAGTAACGACCATTGAACATGCGGGCAAGAGCAACTCCAACCTTGTCTCAACCTGTCCGAGAACATGAGCGAAGTCATCTACATGTACAGTACAGTATACAGACATAAATATACAAAACTGAGACATCCTCAATGAGGTGGCAGGGTGCGGGGTTGTTGAAGTAACGACCATTGAACATGCGGGCAAGAGCAACTCCAACCTTGTCTCAACCTGTCCGAGAACATGAGCGAAGTCATCTACATGTACAGTACAGTATACAGACATAAATATACAAAACTGAGACATCATCAATGAGGTGGCAGGGTGCGGGGTTGTTGAAGTAACGACCATTGAACATGCGGGCAAGAGCAACTCCAACCTTGTCTCAACCTGTCCGAGAACATGAGCGAAGTCATCTACATGTACATTACAGTATACAGACATAAATATACAAAACTGAGACATCCTCAATGAGGTGGCAGGGTGCGGGGTTGTTGAAGTAACGACCATTGAACATGCGGGCAAGAGCAACTCCAACCTTGTCTCAACCTGTCCGAGAACATGAGCGAAGTCATCTACATGTACATTACAGTATACAGACATAAATATACAGAACTGGGACATCCTCAATGAGGTGGCAGGGTGCGGGTCAAATGTGAAATACTGGCTGTTGTTAATCACCAACCAGTGCATTACAACAATAAAAAAAAATCAATAGAGTTCTGTTAGTTAATCCCTTTATTCTGACGACTTAAGTTCAGACGTAATTTTTTTACGTAAGTACGAAGCTAGCATGAAATCAAGAATATCTTCCACATATACGGCGAGTAAAAGAACATTGTCCGAGGACAAGGTGAAATCGTTAACATTTCCGCGGTCGTATGGACATCATCATCGTCTCCCGCGATCACGGCAAACCGCGTATATCACCCATGGTCGTGGCGAGATTTCGACCGCGAATCTTCGCAGATGCTTCCTGTTTTCGCAAAACAAAACTATAACTCGCACCACTCATGATTATCGTCTGCGCAGTCACGGTGGATTCGTGAACATCCTCCGCGATCGTGATGATCAAATATTACAAATATTCTCTTATTCCAAATTAACACTAATCCGAACAGGGCTTTATCGTTATTAAATCTAAATATGCTGGACTCTATTTTACCTATTTCTATACGTATTCACATGGTACTTATTTCTAAAAGTATTCAATACGGCTCAGTTCTCTATGATACAATATGATAATGAAACACTTTTTTACATTTTTTATAAGATAAAAGATTAAGTAAGTAACACCAAGGGTTTAAAATGTGATATTGTACAAGTTACTTTATAAATATGAGATTTTTTTAGCAAAATAGCTAATTATCTACACCACACACTGTCTCAACCAGTGATAATTCAGGAAAAGTAGATAAATATTACAAACACAGAAAGATGTTGTATGTGTTATGTACCCTTGTCTTCATAAAATTATCTACAGGCACATTTAACTTGTTTATCAGTCCCTAAAACACGACAAGAATGACGCATGGGCAAGATTGGGTTTACTTTTACACAGCCTTGATCCTTTTTGTGTGGAATAAAGATCAAAATGAATTTTTTTTAATGCTATAGTGAATATAAGACAAGCGACTTAACAATAACAGTGTACTGTAATTGAGGCACGTATAAGCTAAATTTGAATTGATAAACTAAACAACTTTTTGTATGCACTATTTAAATTTAATTTCACATAATTAACTATAGTTGGTTGGCTCTTCAAAAATTAATTGGACACCACTTTCCTTGAGACTTCCACAATTTGAAAGATTTAAGAGATGAAACTATTTAGCTGGATTGTCGGTCACAGTGCTGACATAATAGATCATTTACAAGCAATACTGAGAGGCTGTGATATCCAAAGTATGCAATATATGAGTAGGGTTGGCAGGTCGGCATGTTATATAAAGCGTTATTGTCCCTACGTCAGGTGACCGATGACGTAATTGTCGTAGCCAGTTCTTGCTATTGGCTGGTCGGGTTACAGATTACGTCACCCGGTCGGTGGCTTTGTTCTCAGGTGATTTCAGATTGTCACTATTCTCTCTGCATGCGAAATAACGCTGCAACGGGGTAGTGATCGATTGGATAGGTTGCATAATTAAATCGGTCTATGTGCATAAATTAATTTAAAAAATTTTTTAAATATATGAAAAATATGACCGTGAGGATAAATAAATAATTTTACAAATTACAAAATATGTTGTATAGGTAGTCTTAATAATTTTTTTTATTTATTGGATTATACTACAGTAAACACCATTATTCATGTATACAATAACATATTGTACTAAAAATCCGGAGTTTGAATATTTTGATGCACAGCTTAAAACATAAGTATGTTGTTGGATATATTTTTACCACTTCCATAAATAATTGATGTATCACTCGGGGCAATTGGGATGTATGAACTAACTAAATATGCTACATGGATTTGTGAACGAAGGACATGTTGTGAATTATTTATCCGATACAGTGGATGAATGAAGTGACAGCGGTCGCTAAGGTCATGCAAATAGAGAGGTAATTTGGGGCACCAGGGGAGCTCAAAACCACATTGCTATTGGTTCTGATATGGGCCAACATGGCGTCGTATTACAGAGTCATGACACTCACTTGGCCGGTTGTTGCCCTCTATGACGATGTAAGGTCTCCTGGACAAGTCGTTGTGGTCGGGCACCACGGGCTCTGTAGTAAAGAAGCATTCCCTCTCGAACGTGGTCAAGATAGTTTTGGCTAGAGGGTCCTTAAATCAGTACCAGTCAAATTACTTAGATACTTACAAATACATGTTTTACACATTTTATTGCGAATAAAGAATTGACTTGAAAAATAAATAACGGAAAATACCTCGTAGACGAAGTATCATCTCCTACTGGGTCGGTACAAATTATGTCTAATACATAAAATACATTGGAGTGATTCAAAATTGAACAAGTCAGATACATATGTAATATGTGCTGTGGGATATATAAGTACGCAATTTAATTACTTCAATTAATGAAATACTTTTAGAATTGTTAAATGGTTTAAATTTGATAATAGTATATTCATGAGAAAGTCAATATAATAAATTGGTGAGTCGGTGGCTCAGTTGGTAGCGTCACGGACTTCAGGCCCAAGGCAGCCTTCTTCAAGGCCCGGACACCGAACAGACAAAACTATAGGTATTGGTCTCCTGAAAATCCGCATTGGGCTCAAGAATACCATACTAAAAATCCCCAAAAAGTCAATGTTTGGGCAGGCATTGTCGGGACCAAATTAATAGGGCCATTCGTGATCGAAGGAAATCTAAACGGAAACCGTTATCAGGAGTTACTGCGAGAGTCGATAGTACCTGCCATTGCCCATGAGTTTCCTCCGGAAGACGAAGAAAATGTTGTCAACGAGAACATTTGGTTTCAGCAAGATGGCGCACCACCTCACTATAACGCTGAAGTCCGAAATTACTTGGACGAAGTTTTTCCAGATCGCTGGATAGGGAGGCGGGGAGCTATTGAATGGCCTGCCAGATCACCCGACTTGACGCCATTAGACTACTTTTTATGGGGCCACCTAAAAAGTAGAGTATTTGTAAACCGCCCAGAAAACATCCAAGACCTCACAGCAAGAATAATAATGGAAGCACGATCTATTAATGAAGAAACGCTGTCCAGGGTGGTAAATGAATTTTACAATCGGTTGGGGCTCTGTCAAGTTTCTCTTGGGCATCAGTTTGAGCATTTGTGAATATTAACAAGTACGTAAAGATGATTATTGCAATTACATTTACTATATAGTTTAGGAATTCTATTAATTTTGATGGCAATTGTGTTTTTGTTGTTATAAGGGTTGTAGTTTTATTGTAATTATTTGGTATTCTATTTTATTGTATTATTTGGTATTCTAATTGTATTGGTAATCAATTTTTACACTATCAAACATTAGAGTATAAAGGAAAAAAAGGTGTTCCAGACTTAATTCACCCGTTCAACCCTAAGTACATTTTAAACCGCCATATTAGACAGGATGCAAAAAAATTTTTTCAGACACATCGTTAAATTTGTCTTCCAAATACCTTTAAAATAAGGGGTCACAAGATGGGGGTTGCCATTTTGAAATTTTTAGTTACCCCCCACCCCCACCTTACCCTTAAGGGGATTTTTTTTTCAAAATTATGAAAAAGTGCCAAACATTTGTTTTTACTCAGTCCCGCAAATTAATTCCTTCTATCTACAAAGAGTAAAAAAGATAAGAAATGTGTGCCATACCTAATTTACCCGTTCAACCCTAAGTGCATTTTAAACCGCCATCTTGGATAGGGTGCTCGAAAAAGTTTTTAGACACATCTTTGGATTTGTCTTCCAATGACCTTTAAAATGAGGGGTCACAAGATGGGGGTTGTCATTTGAAAATTTTTAGTTACCCCCCACCCCCTTGCCCTTTAGGGAATTTTTATTTTCAAAATTTGTAAAAAGTGCCTAACATTTGTTATTAATCAGTCCCGCAAATTGATATCTTCAATCAACTATAGAAAAAAAGATAAAAAATGTGTGCCAGACTTAATTTACACTATGTATAAATAAAAATGAACTATCAGATCAATTAGTTCACAGGAAAGCGTTACAAATCAGGCTATAGGTTGGTTAAACTAGTCTGGTTTGAAACTAGGATAATCAATTATAATTCAAATAATTGAGAGGTAACGTCAAATACAACATTGTTTAGTTTACCACTCATAAGAGAGTACGACTATTTTTCTGTTAAGGTAAAGTTAGGTTAAAAGGAGTAGGCCTATATTATGTTAAAGAAACACGTTAAATTGATTATAGGACTGCATAATAATGTACTGAATAAAAAAAAATCGTGAAAGATTTAAATGCCTGAATATACGTGGATAGCTTCAATCGTATCTTGATGGAATGTATTTTTAATCAAAATCAAATATAAGCTAGTAATAAAGTGAGTATGTAAGTTTATCAGATAAACGAAACAAACACAATGCATCTCAAAACACAGTTATTTATATATTTAATACGCTACATGAAAAGTTTGTTCCTGATAAGCCTTTTTTAGACTCACTCCCCATTGTAGCTGTTTGAAAAAATATATGATGGTCATCACCTTCAAATTTAAAGACTAGTGGGTCGTTTCTGGACCCAGTTGTAATTATCATTGGGCTAATTACGAGTATTAATAGTGCTGTCTAACAAAATGTTTAGTAAAAAGGCAGAGTTTGGACTGTTCCATAAAAAATGTAAATATAAAGGTGTTATAACACAGACAAACTTTATGTCTGTGAAAGTGGGATATTTCGAGTTTTACTATTAAATACTTACTGAATTATTTCTGAAATATTCTAACACTGAAGGCAGCCCTTTGAAAAGTTCTAAGATCTCTGACAGGTCTTCCTGGCCTGAAATCATTTTTGAGATAAGTATTTTAATTTGTATGGATGAGTACCTTATACTTTGTATGAATGGGTAACTAAAAAAACTAAACACTTAACACTGAGTTAATATTGAGTTTTTAATTGCTAACCTGATACGTGCTGACGTTCATACTAATGATTAGATGTAATAATATCAAATAATTATTTATTACTTACAAGTATACTTACAATTTCGGATAATTAACTTTACAAATTATAATAACCTAAAATTTGTGAATTTAAAGATAATTACAACTTTGATAAGAAATATCTCGTTAGTATAGTGCAACTAGACCTAAAACTCAACATTCAAAATGAAAGCTAATTTTTGACTTCATACTTTTCAATATAGTCCCCGTATTGTATGGTAAAAAGTTACACCATTTCGAGGGTCGGGTATTTGGTTGGAAGGGGGTTATAAGTTCAAAAGGTGGTCATATTTTTGTTTATAGCAGATAACAAATTATTTATATAAAAAATGATAAAGATAGAGCTACAAAACTTGAAACAAAGTCACTGGACATACAATCATTTTTTTTATTATCCAGTGATACACTGCTACCTCAGGGAGACGGCTGCTACGAGAAGAAAATCTTTTAAGGTAAGTATAGGTTAATATGCACTTTAAACTAAAGGTCTTTTTTGGTTAAATACAATGCGGTAAACCCGAACCTCCCGACCTCAAACGAATAACCTATACAAAAAGAGAAGTGTACAAAGATTCAAAATTACAAATTCAAGAAAACTTTCAACGGCTATTTTTTTTAAATATTAACTGCCACTGGAATTTAAAAAAAGCTTTAATAATCCATAATGTCCTTTTTTAAGATTTTGTTACTCCGTAACCATTCACTTTAACAAGATAATGAAGAGGATCATTCGTGTTTTGAATTGACCGTAGATGATTTTTTGAAGATGACTATAATATTGAAAAGTTTAGAGTCAAAAGTTAGCTTTTACTTTTGATCTTGAGTTTAGGCCGTTTTTATTTTTTGAATTTCACAGTATTAATTGACATATTTATATATTTTTTGGTAATGTTTATTCACCTCAACGAGTACTATGCCTATTATCACATTAAATGATGACTCAGTAAATACTTTACCTACAGCCTGGTTGAGCAGTAGCCCTGACAGTGTCAATAGCAGCACACTTGGCCTCATGTCCACTCTCCCGTTATCACCAACTAACTGATAACAAGCACTGTAATGGTCCCTCCTCCACCGGAGTTTAACTCTATTGTTATATCAAGAGACTTCCCCAAAATAAACTTTCCGTGATTCTATACGAGATAACTTTAACGCGAGTTTAAGTATCGGTACCCAATTTTTACCTGTAATAGTGTTACCTAACGATGTTATCATTTTTAATGTAAAAAATAAGTATAATTGAGAACAATGTTTTTGAAGAGCTACTCTTTCAGTAATAATAATTGGTGATTGCATATATTTTGCATTGTACATTATAGGCTAAATATGTTGGATCTAAATATTTAAGATAATATCGGTATAAAGTCCATAGGGAAAATCCCTGGCACACAACACAAATAATGTATGCAAAAGGGACCTAAGAAACATTTTAGTGACGGAAATGAGATATATCACCCATGGAAGCGATGCTTTTAACAGACAACGGCTGCCGGCAGTGGCAGTTACTGTATAGCGCCCCTTACCTGCACTCGCATCACGTTATGCTGGTAACATTGATACCCTGTTTGTATACTGAATAAAATAATCCTTAAACAAACCTATCATTCATTTACTTTTAAGTGGAGTATGGAACGAGCATTTAAATTGTCATTGTGGTTTTCATGTAAATAAAAAGTGAACTATCTCATCGTAACAGTCGACGAATATATTCAACATAGAAGTAGCTATTGTAAAATAGAATCAATTATCTTTCTTTATAAATACAAGAATTTAAAAACAATACCGGTAATGACCTCATTTTAATTTTAAATTATTTAATATTACTTGTTGTCACAAAATGACATAGCTTATTAAGAATGACAACTGACCTTAAAAAGTTCGGATGAACACCTTTATTTTCTTAGAACGACGTGGTTGGCAGACGGGAGGAATTTAATCAAGAACTTCAACTCAATTGAATTAATAATTTTTATGGTAAACACCATTTACAATTAATCTGTTCATGTTTTTTAATCGTGTAATAATATTGGAAATAAAATTTACCTCAAAGACATTTGTTAAAATACTGGAAATCAAAACTATTTAACTGGTTTCTAGGTAAAATAATTTTTACTAATAAAATGTTAGAATGGAAATAAAGTATTGTCTTTTACAATAACAAATTATAATATTAACTATATACACTTATAATCATATAAATACCTAACTTAGCTCAGCAGGGAAATCAATTTTGGATCTTTATGCAGATCACAAGAAAAAGCTGTATTTTAAATAGAATACCCTTATATGTAATGGTTTAAATTTTATTGTTTCAGCATATCTACAGCTTTGATTCAAGTACTCAAGGGCCGCAGTGCTTGTTCATGACGCACTTCACCCTATGGTATGATAGATCAAATGTATTCAGCATATTTACAGGTCAGTATCATGAATATCAGTAATTTACGCAGGTTTGAGCCGCAGACGTATTGAACGTATTGTTATACTGTGTTACGCCCAATCTAGTAACACTGATTGATGAGATAACACTTTGTACTGATAACGATCGAATCTGTCGTAATGAATACTTAAGCCCAAACAATGATTTTAACAAAAGACAATGCAAGTAAACCTAGTGGTAGTATCGTTTTTACACATCAACACTATCGTCAAAGGTAATGCTTTATTAGGTGACATGTAGTGGACTGTAACTTAGAACTAAAAACATTTAACAATTGTACCAATTAAAACATTTAACCATTAAATAACTATTTGGATCAAATATTGGAAAATATTTCTACATTTTACAAGTGAATTAAATGTTAAACTAAACACCAGAGTGTATGAGTGTTTTTCAATGAAACAATTGAAGCAGTTTTATTTAGTGTCAAAAATCGTGAAAATACAGGTTTAATACGTCGGTCAAGTTATCACAAATTATATTATCAATAGTGAATGATTAATTATTATTAAACAGAGAAAAATGCTCTTCATGTAAAAAAAAATTCTTAAACACTATGCAAAATGGCTATTGAGTTTTAAACATATGTGTGAAAAGACCAACTAAGTGAGCATTATGAATAAACCTTTGTATAACGATTACACATTAGTTATAAGCACAGAAAAAAAAACTGCTTTAATTCATTATTCATTCGATAAAACGACTATCAGCAATTTATTTTCTTTGGTTATTAATTAAATTGTTTATCATTGGCTACTTTTATTTAAACAACTTCCTCGATTAAAGTACTGCATCTATACTAAAATTGAGTTGCTGAATCATTTATTCATTTGCAAATGCAGGATTGATAATGAGGGATAACATAAATGTTTATAAGGTTCTGTTAGATTTCCAACACTGAAATTACTGAAGGATTAATTTTAATTATCTATAACTTAGTAATATTTCATATAATGAATCACAGAAATATTCTACGATATGAACCACATAATGTGTACATAAACTTACAGATTAATTATAATTTATAAAATTTATCTTACATTTTTATATAATGATGTGGATTAAAATTATCAGATTCTTCTGTTTGACCTAACTAAACCTACTCGGTTTATAAAATCCTAAATCCAATATTTTGTTTCAGCTTTTGACACCCTCCCGAAGGAGTTTCATCATTTTCCTGACTTAGAAGAAATAAAGAACTATTTCAATGATGAAAGGGTAAGTTAATTTGGTTTCAATCAAAAGTAATTTTATCACTGAATTTATGTTCATTAATAAAGCTGGTTAACCTTTTTTGTTTTAGCATCCTTATGCAAAAACAATTTTGGAGACATATGAGAAAAAATGCACATATCCAGAAGCAAATAAAGTCTCTAACAGAACCAAGCCCTTCATAGTAGTTGAGGGGAATCACCGTGGAAGTAAGTTATACACATTACACATTTGTTTATATCTAACTCGTTATAATAGTTTTTATAAAAGGTTGTAATGCCAAAACATAAAACATCCTTTCTTGCGTATAAACTGAGTACACTGTGTTAGCATTCTCTCTAATAGCCTCTAAAAGTGTTGATGTTGTTTTACTATGAAATATATTTAGCTACATTAACACTTAAGTGATGTACAATCGTCTGTTTAACAAATTTACTTTTTAAAATCTATTTTTAGGCAGGGAGTTGATTGCGAAACAGTTGGCAAGAAAAATGAATGCGAGGTATTTGACCAACCTAGCGCCATGTCTGTTTGAGTTGTTCCATTACCTATCGCATGGGTCGGTCATTCGGAGAGTGTTCTACCTGCTGTCTGTGTACGCTGCGGCTCAGGAGGCTCAACACTTCCTCAATAAGGGCAGAGCCGTCATCATCAATGGGTAGGCCTGTGTTACCATCACCTCTCTGTATTAAATTCTCATTAACTAACACTGGAAAATGTTAGATTGTACCAAACTTCATGGGTCCCAGGCCTCATTGTTTATTGTATTCAATAATGGAAGCGAGCTGGGATAGTCGTAGACCACAGGACTTCAATCTTCAAGGTGACGGGCTTGAAAAAAATCACCAATGGATTTTACCTAAGTGACAATGATCATGATCCTCTAGGCCAGAAATAATGTGTAAAATGATTCTGTACTAGTGTCAATATACCATGTTCAATATAAACTTTTATTTATTATTTTATGTAATTGTGGGATCGACAGTAAACCACATAGCTTTGACTATTTATTGTAATTGGCCTACCAAAGTATCTCAAGGATGCAGAGAAATAATTATTGACTTCTTTAAAAGATTGTGCTGGTAATTGCAGTTAATGGTGGTATCAGGTGACACAATGTCTCCCAAGGAGACCCAAAAAGATTAAATGCCCCCAGTACACTCTCGCCGAGGTAAGGCGAGCGTTGGCGAGTGCGAGAGTGTACTCGATGAGCTCGTCTTCGCTCTTGCAATCTGGAGTCGGTTTTTTGACACGAGTCAAAGGACCCGAGACTGAGCGAGTGGCGAGCGCGAGGCGCCCCAGTTCACTCTCGCCTTGTCTCGTGGTTAGTTCAGCTATGCGTGGTTAGTTTTTGCGTGCATTTTGCGTTAAAATAAACATGTATTGGTCAAATGTCCCAGCTCTTGACTTTTTAGAAGCCTAACATGGTGAGTCGTTATTGTGGGACCCATGACACGTACACCACAAGGACAAACGTAAACTAACAGATGCTTGGTGCCGTTTGGGCGTAAAACTTAACCGTCCAGTAACCGAATGGAAGAAAAAGAAAGAATCATTAATGGCTACTTTTAGGGGTATGCCTTCATCCACCATCTCCTTCTGGTCCATGGCTTGCTGACTTTTCTTGTGATACGCGTAAACATAATTAAAATAAGCATATGCACAAAACAAGGTTAATGTTGCTACTTCCACATCGAAGTTTGCCTCCATTTCGACTGCGAGACAAAGCGAGAGTGTGCACGGTTACCTCGCATAAGCTCTCGCCCGAATTACTCGGCGAGCGCCTCGGCGAGGTGCCTTGGCGAACGTCTCGGCGAGAGTGTACTGGGGGCATAATGACACGTGTGCTTGTGATTGCAGCTACTGGTGGGAGCAGGTGACATACAGTCTTCTACAATCTCTCAAGGAGGCCCCCACTCCCTCTATAAGCTCCCCTGTTTTCATTCACCCGCCAGACCTGCCAACCCCTGACCTCACTATATTCGTCGACCTGCCAGAATCGTTGTCTATGGACTCACCGAAGAGACCAAACTTCATCAAATACAGGTTGGATATAGCACAGACAAGTAAAGCAATAACTATTCAATTCTTTTGTCTATGGTTATAGCATCCAAACCAAATTATGCACAACATAATACAAACGACTTTGATTAGGTTTGATAAATTTAAACATAACATCATTTTTTTCTTAAAATATGCCTTTGTTCAAACATTATTTTTGTTACTGTTTCTAAACAAGCATAAACAGGCCTTCTTTTTTTCTAAGGTGATTGCATGTGCATTTCAGAGTGTTAATTTTCAAACGTATTTTACCAAAGCATAAATAGCTTAAATCATACATAAAAAGAAGTCACCCTCATTTAAACTTAAGTTTTGCCCATCCACATGGACCTCGGGGCTGTGCTGGGACGTTTCAAGCAAAGCTAGAATCCGTCGGTAAAGTACATGGATGAGCAAACGAAAGTGAGACACAAACTGCCACTATAATTCGTCACGCTACCGACTCACCAAATCCAACGATAAAACATTGTTGCCATGCTTATTTTAAACTTAATTTACACAAAGTATAACATTGAAAATAGTTGACGTTGGCATGAGACATGCTTTGGACAGTAACTAAACATCCATATAGTAATTACATATAGTAATTACAGTAACTAAGATGGTTATCTGTACCTATAACGTGCATTTGCCAGGTCTGTTGAGATGTACGAGACCCTGAGTGCCAAGTACCCCGTGATGGTGCTGTCTATGGCGGAGTTCTACAAGATGGCCATCAACCACGTGTACGATAATATCAGACAGAATTTATCGGACCATATAGATTTCGAGTAAGTGACTCTATGCCTAAGTGTGATGAAGGTATGAAAATAAAGGAGTGTATTTTTAGGATAATAATATGTCTAAAAATTTACAATGCTATGAACTTCATTATGAAGTCATTATAAGCTAAAATCCCAATAATCAAGTCATATCATTCTGTTATGAAGAAAATAGGCCACAATAAATTTTATTAATTAATCTATAACAGGCCTAAATACTTTGTAACTGTTTGGGGTTTTCCTTATTACCAAAACAGTAAATTAAGCGGGTAGTTTTTTTACTCTCTGATTGTTTGGTAACAAAACAATATTACTAACCATTTTTATCTTAAACGATTTGAGAATAATCTCATTAGCTTAGCTTATTAATAATGGAGCTTATGACTAATACAGGACAAACTAAATGTATTATACTCTGCTATATTTTAGTTTTATATGACATCAAATACAAAATTTGGTTGAAATTCCAGTTTTTAATAATAAACCCAACATAATATTACAGGACTCCTGAAAGAAGAACGTTGCCAACAATTCTTGACGACTTTGACTGCTCAAGCTCAGAATATTCTCAGAGTAATTAATCAAACATGCATCCATTCTCTGTTTATAATGTTCAAGATAGTAGGTTCCAATTTATGTGACATTTTATGGTAATAATTTATTTGATAGTATACCGTAGTCAATTAAATATTTTGCAAACAATGTACTTATTTATTATAAATACAGCTTTTCTACGTATACATTAAAGACTTATTTGTCATATAATTTCTTACTTTTAATGCATTTGTTTTAATTCAAAATCCTAATATGATTCCATAAACTGTTTTCATATTAAATAAATTATGAGAAAGGAAATTGAGTAGCTTTCAACTATGGACCTTGTTTAAGGAGGGAGTGTAGGAAGTATAGTGTGGTTGCTGGTTAAACCATGCAAATTTTGAGGAAAATGTAAAAAATTGAGAAAAACGAATGGTTTTACCATATGACATGGTATCACACAATTTTTGATGCTACGTCATTGCCACTTATGTCTATGATTTAGGTGGGTTCAGAATTGCAAGTTTTATTCAGCTAAATATGGTTTTGACCAACTAAGAGGTATTCAGGTAAATATTCAACTAACTTTTCTGTGTGTTTTTAAAAGTACTTATTTTTAAAGATTAAAAATTAATCCTACAGTTACAGATTCAATCTTCAGGCACATATAACCTGTAATGTTTGTCACGCTATCGCCCTATTAAACTTCTTATACCCTAAAAGCATTTAAATAACATTCAATACTACATAGAAAATAAAACTAAAACCTAAATCTACGTCACAGAAAATGATCAGATTAGCGAAAAGCAAATGAAGAGTTTTAACATCCTTTTATTTGCTGCTAAATCTTTGTTTAGAATCAGCTGGATACCATTTAGGGAATTCACTAAGTAGAATATAATAATTTCTTCGGTTTTACATGAACTTAAATAATACTAGCAGTGGGTCCGTCCTACGCAGAGGGATTAAATCATAAGTTTAAACTTTGTATATATACACAGTTTTAACTCAGAACAGCCTATTCATATGATAAGTTTATTTAATTTTTTTAAAGAGATGAAGCCAAAAGCTTAACCTGCATACAGGGAAATTCTAACAGTTTTTATGTGAAAAAATCACCCTATGAACTAATGTCAAGTGGCCACACATTTTTCTATCCCATATGGTACAAATGTTTAATCCAATGATTGTACAATAAAACAGCCTTGAAGGGAAATTGGGGGCTAATCTCCACATTGGTTATAAGTGGCTACATACCACATCCTTTGAATACTATTACTAACTTTATCTTACCTCCGTAGCCATCGAAACCTTACGAGATCTTTGGTCTCACTAACACACCTCAATTTCTCATACCACCCATCTCATCTAATGTAGACCTCAGTCTCCAGATTTTTTTATTATTTGGTCTTTCCACTAACTTAACTTTGGTCCTCCAATTGGTCGTCCACATTGTGGTACTCCTTAGAATACACTTTTAAAAGTTGAATTATCTTCTCTCCTCCTAATTTACATCCAATCTTACTCCTTACTATCTTACTCTTTATCCTTTTACTTTTAAAAATCACTCTTATATGTAAACGTGTATACATTTATATGAGCCCTCTCTTCTTTTGTATCCTTCAACACATCTTGAAATGGTCTATGTATTTTTCTCTGCACTCTATTCTCAAACACAATAGTGAGGGGTTTTTCAGATTCCTGGGTCAGTGCTTAAGTTTCTAAACATTACAGTCATACTTAGATAGTTATGGTATGATATAAATTGATTTTGTATTCTACTTAACAGCCATTTGGACATAACCGGTGTTTAGAGACCAATATTAAACATTCTATACTGGTTGACATTTTTATAATCAACCAAAATTTAGTATGACCATAGACAAATGTTTGAACATAAAAAATAACTATCAACACATAAACCACTTATAACTTAAACCATTAAGCGATAGGTTTCTGAACAATATTTCCCTACCATTCATTGGTACAAATCTTCAAAGCATAACTTATATTCATACAGATTATATTTACGACAACGCTTGATTATATAAAACATTTTGAGATAATGGTTCAAACTATACATTTCATGAGAACGCGAATCCATAATGGTAGGAATAAAATAAATTATCATGACCATAAAAATATACCAACGATCAATATTTTGTTAATAAATTAAAAACTTAAACACTTCAGCGACAGTTTTTAAAATGTAAACCAACTGTTCATTAACCTAAATTATATTGCACTGAAACAAACTTAAAATGTCAACGTCGGTTGCTAGACTTTTTCAAAACTAAAATAAAATTTCTGAAAAACAGAAATCCAAAACACAAATTATGTCTTCGACATTCCCTTCCTATCAAAATTATCATTCTTTTAAAAGAGAATGAAGAAAATCCGTTAAATGGTTGAATAAGAACCTTCGAATAAATAAAACAACTCTCCCACGTTTTAATGCATAAGATAATTACAATAATTAACCACACACACAATTATTAACTCCACGGTTGTTTGAGCTAGTATTTAATCAACGAATGACTTTACATTGTTATTGCACCAGTTCGTATTTAATTTATCAAGTCCATTAAACTAAGTAGTTATAAAAGAGGTCGCTGGTATGACAGTGTTGTACATGTAGTTCCTGTACAGTGTACACTGTACACACTCCAGTCAAGAGGTAGTTGGCTAGTCCACTGCACATGCTACTAGTCACTTACATAGATTGACTCCATATACTTGTGGCAACCCTATGAACACAGCCTGACATACTATACAAAGATTGCAATTACTAAGCAAGTATATTTGTGTATAGAAGGTATACAAAAACATTTTCCACCATGAAATACCATTGTTTAAGAATTAAGGAGAAGGTGTAGTCAACAAGGTTTTATGTGACTCAATTAGAGTAATAATTAATATACTGTCCATACAATTTTCCGACCACCAATAATTTTTATCACCTACATTATATTTCAGTATTATTCAGGCATCCGGGAATACTTTAGGCTAATCTATTATGCTGTTTTAAGCACCAGGCTAAAAGAGCCAGGAAAGTATCTTTCATGATTACTTAGGGGTTGTTGGATTAACTATCAATGGATATAAACATATACTTAAATGTTTATATTTTAAAACAATAAATTCAGTCTTTTTCATTGATAAGCAGACCCATGATTTAAGGCGGGTTTGAAATTACTAGACCGTAGCATGATCGTATAGCCAAATATGGTCACTGTACACATCTTATGTTCTATCTACCAGATCGGCCGTGACCCAGAGTACATAAAATACAATACAATACATTAAATATAATACTATGATTTAGGATTTCAATAATCAGTAATGTATTTTCACAATCTTTATTTTATACATAATTTTCTACTATTTTGTTTGTAATTTGATCTTACATACTTAATTGTATTGGGTAAACTCCGATGGAAGTTATTACATTTTTGTTATTTCTTTCTACTAAATTAACCATAACTGTAAAAAATAATGTAAAAAATAATAATCCTATTTTGATTTGAAATCAGAACACACATTTCTTTACATAATTTGTCATAATGTAATGAAAATGATAATCATGTTCCGTAACAAATCCGCTAACGTATTTTTTCTTTTGACTTCATAATCAGAAGAAAGTTTTCATAATTAACTAGATATGCAGGACCTGTGTCTAAACTCTCGTTCGTGCCAGGAAAACAAATTGGGCCTTCAATTAACAAGTCCATGTAGAGTTGAACGAACCAAAGAATGGAATTTTTTAGAAAACAAGAAAATAGCTTTGCAGACTAGTGAATATTTAATTTCTAATTGTGTCTGTGTTTTCCACCGTTGTATTCATTCACTATATAATGAATGTATGATAATTGGAAAAAGGGGTTATTTGTAACAGGCACTATTGAACATGTTATATTAAACATTTTACCAAACAAAAAATAATGTTTTAATTTAATTATATAAATAAAGTTTCTCAACTTATACACGAATTTGAGTTTTTAAAAAGCATATGTACCCCAACTTCAACTTCTATTTACAGTCATACACACAATTACTAGTGTTGAACGAGGCGATTGTAGATTCAATTACCACTATTCCATTGGTAACTTCATAACACCCATAATACCTCCTTTAATATACCAACATAAAATACTGTCTCGTTTTTATTTATTACATTCAGCTGTTATGGGCATGTTGAGCATTTGTATTTACAAATGCTAGAAATTAATTATCCTGACGTTTATTCTAATTTTGCAAAATAGCAAAATCAATGCAGAGTCTTATAATATTCAAACAGTCATAATTATTTTCATATCAGCACAGCTTCTTGTCTCCAACGAGGACGTAGTTTAGAAAATATGTATGCCGAGTAAAAGTAGTCAATTTTATCTGCTATTGATATTAAATAAATATCACGTAGTGAGGAGTAAAATTTAATTAAAAGTTTAATCGATGCAGCCAACGACGAACCTTTAAATATGTATTGAGCTAATATTATTTCCAATGAGAATATAGTGTAAAAGACTTGGTCGTTCAACAAGAAAAGTACAAGATTCAAACTAAACATGATTGTAGGTCCTACACTGTACTCAGATTCCTTAAAAATACTTTAAGATTAATGTCTTTTGACGGTTTGTACTCTTATAACCATCTAGTGTGTAAATTTTAATCAAAATATTCAGATGAACAGAAGAAAATCTTCGTCAATAACTTTTTTGAGACAAAAACTCAATACCTCTAAAAACTCACTCAGCGTTTTTTAATTACATTAAAACCAAGCTGTCTATTAGTTTCAAGTAAGACATAGTTAGGTGAAGTCCCCATTTCTTATTAGCAATATTTAATTTTTAGAAATCAACTGAAGTAATGTTATCTTATGTTATTTATTCTTACGGCAAAATAATAGGAAGGCAACTCCATAAATCTATTTATAGTAGTATATATCAATATTTTTGTGCTTTTGTTACATAATCACTTTACCACCCTTATTAATGATCTTCGTTTTTTGTGACAGTAAAAATCCCATTTATAAATTCTAGCGAGTTAAAACTTAATGATCTTTACAACACAAGACACAGCGGGGTTGTCATGGTGGTGGGAAAAGAATTAAAGAGATAAACGATAAAGCACCCAGCCTCAATCCCTGAGGGCTATTTGTTGCTTGGGTGTTACAAACCCAGATAAGAGCTTAACACCCACACCTAC